CCATTTTTAATTATGTGGGTTGATAACCAGTTTTTTTGTTGCTAGTTAAAAAAAAAAAAAAAGTGTAATAAGATTTTAAAAAAAACACACACACAAAATTCAAATCTGAAAATGTCTTATGGTCATTGTAAAGTATACACAAAATCATTGGTATTTATGTTATTGGGAACACCCAAAAATTACAAGGTGCCATGCTACAAGGAGACGAAGCCTAACAGGGAAGTTATGTTTGGTGTCAAAGTCAGTAAAGTACAAAGAATGGAAAGGTGGATATTTTGTGGACAAAAGGAACCTGGCAGTTACAACATGACAGTTACTTGCCTTTTATGTAGGATTAAAAAAAGGAAAGATTGCAGCCATGTAAACAAACACAATTCAGTTATTGTTCAGCAATAATAAAAAAAAAAGTCTCTTTGTTACTAGTGTCCACAAAAGAAGAGAAGAATAAAGAGCAGTAACTCCATTGCTTTGTATGCATGTGATAAAAGTGTTGATGTAGAAAGTTTCCATAGAAAGTTTTGCTGCAAAATCCAACAAATCATGAAAATTCAACAAACCATAAGTTGCTTGTAAATATGTTCTATTAAGAGATGATCAAAAGACTAAGTTTCTTTCAGGCAGACCATGATGACAGCAACATTATGTAAAGGACCTGCTACATGATGATGATGAAGAGAAACAATTTAGTCAGAGAAGAAAAAACAATTATAAGAAGATGAGAAGAAGATGAGGAGGAGCAGGAGCAGGACAAAGAAGGGAAAAGAAAAAGTAGTAAGACAATTAGGAGATGAAGGAGGATGTGTAGAAAAAAAAAAGGAGTAGAGAAGGAAATAAAAAAAAAAGAAGAGGAGAAAAAGCAAGAATATCAGATAAAGGATGAAAATAAGTGGAAGAATACGAGAGAAGAAATAGTGGAGGAGGAGAAGGAGGAGAAGAGGAAGTAGAAGCTGATTTCTTTCAGGGTGTTATTTTGGAGAGAAAAAAAGTGAAAGCACTAATATTTTTAAAAAAGCATACATACTTGTCAGGATCAACATTGCCAGATTCTTCATGCACAGTGACTTGAACGTGGGACAAAGTCAATCCAAGGATCTGATTCAGACTTCTAATTATACACACACAAAAAAGGAATGCAAATAAGTTCATGACATTTATTGTTTAAGATAGACTGCTAATAAAACATTAAAGACATTATGCATCCCCCTGGAATGACAACAGCCAGTGTTCTCAGTTGAGTAGAGGACCATAAACTGTTTTTCTGTGCAGCAATAATTGGAAAAAAAAATGGGAGTGAATTAAAATGATTAACTGTTAGTTATGAGCTTTCAGCTGGTAAAGTTATGAAAATTTGACACTTATTTCAACTGATACTCACTTCAAAATGTTTTCCTTATTTATATTGAGTGCGGAAACAGAAAGAGGAGTGGTCAGTCTGAACTGGTGGTCATCTTGTTCTATGGTAATCTAGGAGAAAAATGAAGAGATTGCTAGCATCAAGTTGTCATTCAGATAAACAAAACATTCAGTCACATAACCCTCATCATCTTGATCAAGTGATCTGTCAAGTAACATGGAAGATAATGCCTCTCCACAGACTGTGATCTTCATCAGCATGCATCAGTTCATGTGCACATGATGCCCCTCCAAGCTAGGGTAAAAGGTTTCTGTAACTGTCTCATGTTGTCTTCCTCTGTCAAGTTATCATTCAGATAAACAATCAGTCACATAACTATCATCATCTTGATCAAGAGCCTTGTCAAGTGGCATGGGAGATTATTCCTCTCCACAGTCTGTGATCTTCATCAACATGTATCAGTTCATGTGTATATGATGCCCATCCATGCCATGGTAGAAAACTGTCAATGACTGTCTCATGTTGTCTTCCTCTGTCTCTCTTTCCATAGATCTTTCCAGTGGTCACAACATCTTCCAGATTCCTTTTTCTTATAACATGATCTAAAGATGGCGACTGTCATTTTTCTGATGTTTGTGATGCATTGTTTTCGAGCACTCGCCTTTTTCAAAACACCTGGGTTGCTCTTACCGGGTGTCTTTAGATTTCTAAGAATTCTTCTATAAAACCACATCTCTGAAGCCTCAAGAAATTGTTTGGCTTGATTATTAATTGTCCAGGATTCCCAGCAATGTGTTAAAGCTGGATCTATATAGCATGCAAGAATTCTTTTTCCAACACCCAAAGACATGGATTTATTGCATTAACTTTCTTATTTGATAAAATGCTGCTTTAGCCTGTCTGATTCACTGTCAGAAGTTATCAACATGCCCATATACCTACATTTCTGTAAAGTAAAAGTAAAGATCCCTTTTCATGCCTTAGGCATATCGGAAGAGCGTCCCATATTTTTACAGACCAATCGGCACTGGATAGGTAATGTGGTCAGCATTATGCCGGCCGTCTTTACTTCCCCATAACAGCCATCCTGGTACCCATTTTAAGGTCAACTTACAACACCCCGTACCATGATAAAAATCCACACAGCTAGCAGTGGGTTTCAATCGCGGTACGTTGGTTTACAAGTCAGACTCGCAACGCCTAAGCCACAAATTTCGCTACATTTCTGTACTTATCCTATAATGCCCTTGACTTTTGTTTCACATTTAGGCACTATTCCTTTCTTTGATGTTACTATTACTTTGTTTAAATCTACAAAACACAATGTAACGAATTCCATTTTTTATCTCTTTCAAAAGATTTATGTGGATTGTAAAAGAAAATCTGCATTAATGTTTAACAACAGCTGCCCATGCCAACCAACAGATGTTCTCTCTCCCTCAGCAAATGTCCCCAGGTGTAGAAGCTCATCATTCTATAACACTGTGGTTAAAAACATTTCACTGATCCTCTCATGGTTTGTGTGTGTGTCTTCTTATGAAAATGAAAACACTAAATCAAAACTCATGCTTCGGTAAATATAGATTTACCTCTCATTCAGCCTTTACCTAGCTAATGTTTATAGTCTTCACAATAATTCTCTTATGCATCATTTCCCCAAAAATATTGTGTCCTCTATCCTGCATAATATCTTATGAATAATGATTCACTATTACAATCCCACTGTAAGCAGATTATCATTCATGGAACTTGAGTGTACTTGACCTGCTCATTCAATTAGGAACACCTGTTGTAGTTACATCCACTAAACCTGAGTGCACCTGCCTGACAGGCAAGGAGCCAACAGTCTGTTTTCATTTTTCTTCTTCTTCTGCGTTCTACATCAGTCATGCTAAACATTGAGTCCCGTCTGGGTCACAAATAGGATTGTGCATTTAAGGTCGCCACCGGTCCCCCATAGCTTCTGTTTCAATGTGGCTCCCTTGGGCCAGATCCACAGTCTTTGCTGGGAGAGGTAAGGGCAGTACTGCAGTATGTGCCCAGGGGTCTGTCTTTCTGCTCCACAATCACAGGCAGCAGATTCTTTTATGCCTATCCTGTACAGGTGTGTTCGAAGACCACAGTGTCCAGTCCAAAGTCTAAAAATTGTTGTTCATTCTTTTCTGTTGAGTTTGTTTATGCTGTCACTCTCTGGTCTGTAATCTCCATTCTGCCTTCTCCACCCCCGCTTGAAAGACTGCTTTAGCGCTGTTTTGGTTTTTTTGTAGCTGTGTGGTGGATGAGGTTGTGGAAGATTACTCCCAGCATTTGCTAACTCATCTGCTCTCTCATTTCGTTGAATACCACAGTGGGCTGGCATTCACTACAAAACTAGTTCTGCTTCCTTGAAGAGTAAGAAAATGTTGGTCATTTGATCTGCAATTAGTTTGTCTTGTTTTTTGCTTGATAGTTCTTGGAGAACACAATGAGTCACTAAGTATAACAATTTGGTGCCCTCTGTGTTCTTGAGTGATGAGATGTTGGACTTCAGAAAGGAGGGCAGTTTAGTTGCCTCAGCTCTGAAGTTAGTGCAGATGTCACCTGCTGGTAGAGAGAGAGTTTCTGCTCTACTGCTAGGGGGTTTAATGTATACTCCACAACCCCCCTTTCTGACTGCTTCTATAGCAGAGCCGTCGGTGGAAACCTGAGTCCAAGTGGGGTTTGGATACTTCTCATCAAGCATAGCAAGAGCCAGGGTTCTCTGTTGTGTCTCCATCTAGGCATCTTTTGAAGTGATCCCTGGTATCTTTAGGACTACATTTGCTTTCTCTGGCTTGCTTGTCCATGGTTCTGGCCTAAGTTTTTCGCACAGTGCTACATCTCTTTCAAGCAGATCTCGGTGCTGTCTGTACATTTCTCTAGCAAGGTGGTTGGGGCTCTAACGCTTCAGTCTGTTTTTTGTTCTCTCTTGAAATTTAAAATGCAGTGGATGACTTTCAAGTCTTTTTAATTTCTCATACTGTAAAAGAGTTTTGTATTGTCTTCTGAATTTGAGTGGTTCAGTATCTGCTATCCTCTCTATCTCTCTGATGGGGGTGGTTTTCATGGCTCTGAGAACAATACTTAATCCCATATTCTGAACCTTGTCCAGTTTTCCCATTTTTATTCTTGGCTGCTGCAGCCCATGCAGTGGTGGCATATTCCATGACTGGCCTGACTGCTCCAGTATATACTTGTTTAAGGATTCTGGAGTTAGTGCCCCATGTGGTACCCGCTAATTTTTTCATCACTGCAAGCTTCTTGAATGCTTTCCATTGTACTGCTTCTACGTGTGACTTCCAAGTTAGTCGCGAATCAAGAGTGTTCTGTTTACAAATAAGCTAGATCTGTAAAACAGAGGTGCATGCAAAACTCAAATTCTGGAACACGACTAAAGTCTCAAAGTGGACACACACACACACACAACTTTTTGCCAGAGTTTAAAGTTGGTGAACACAATGAAAAATAAGAACTAAAGACCACCAGACTGGCTGGCAACTGTCCAAGCATTCACACTAAAACAGCTTCAATTAGGAAATGACTTCTAGTACATCTGGGATACAATACATACCACCTAATCTGGTACACAGTACACTTAGAGTTAAAGAGAAGAACTGTTAAATCTCACCCAGACATCAAGAGTAACGTTAGAGCCTGTACCATTTCTGTCTGCCGCCACAACAGTTAGCATGAATGTTGAATGGTTTCCTAGTTTTTCAGGGGATACTACTTTAAGTTCGCCGGTGACAGGGTTAAGGTCAAACACACTAGTGTCTCCAGATGAAATGGTGTAACGTATAAGTCCATTCATACCTGCATCTGGGTCATACGCCTGTGAAAGTAAAATTATAAACAGTTGAAATTAAAAAAAATCAAAAACATTTAGACTTTGCACGATGAGAAACTATACAAATCTAGTCTGGAGAGATGATGATTTTTCAACCTTCTTGGTCACCTAGTATTTCAATGAATTTGATTCTAATACTTATATTTAAATCTGTGTTCTGCTCTGAAATCTTTCACATACATTTTTTCTGACTTCATTTTATTCTCTAGCATAGTATTTTTGTGAAAACTTTAAAAAAAATCTTGTTTAAAACAAACACTTTATAAAAAAAAAAAGAAGCTTTTGTTACCTAACAGTACTAAAAAGATTTTTTTAAAATGTATCGTATGGTTTATTGGACGTATGATTTTCACACTGACACTTGTATCAATGTATATACTGTACGTATACTTGATCATATAGTTTAATGGACACAGGAGTTTAATTATCTTTACAAAAAAAAAGTGGCCTCCATGGAAAAGTGGTCAAGCCGTTTGCCTTGAGCTCTGAAGGTCATGAGTTCATTTATGGCTGCACTGTTCAGTTCACTGGTGCAGTTTTTAAAGAGATCCCTGGGGATCATCACCAGAGCTACAGAATTCGTGTTCTGTGTCATGCTCTTGGCATGCGGTTATCCATTCTGCAGATAGATTGAGCCACTGGGATAAAACCCGGTGCAATGAAGTTTATCCTCTCGACTTGAACCTTTAACCTTTATCTTTACAAAAAGTCATCTACAATTTTATACAACTAATAAATGTGTGGAGACCAATACAGTTAGTGATGTTCAACCATACTAGGATTAACACCTGGTGACACAAGGTGCCAACACTCTGATGAGAATCCCCCAGATGCAAGTTCCAGAAACCCTGTTCTACCATTACGTTATATTAGGGCCTCGATGACAGTTAGGGTGAGGCGTCAAAATATTTAAAAAAAAAAAGAAAAAAAAAAGAAAATTGTGACTCATACTGGAGTGTGTGTAGCACCCACATATAATACATGCATACTTAACAACTAAAACAAATATACAATGATAATGGCTTATTCTCATGACAAGTTGAGTTGAGTATTATAAAGTCGTTGTTGTTCAACCCCATCAGGGCCGTACAATGAGCGACCAACAACTGGTGACACAAAGTGTCACCATTCAGATGGGAATCTCCCAGGCAGAAGTCCTAGAAACCCAGTTCAACCCGTAGGTAAAGTTATATTAGGGCCCCCCAACCTCAGCCAAGGTAGGGCTTTCAAATAACGAAAAACTGCATCAAATATTAGGACGGTGTATTTTTTTAACTATAAATATATCTGTTTTTACGGAGAATGTTCCAAGGAAATGACAGTTATTGACAAGAAATTTTCAACGTCAGTTAATGTTAGTTGTGACAGGGTTGGGAATACTTTAACAGAATCTAGACAAATTCTAGGAAGATGGCAGGAATACTGAAGCGGAAATGTATGATATAGAATGCCAGTGAGGATAATGAATGATATACATGAACCAGTAACAGTAGAGGCAGAACCTGAAAACCTTCATTAGGAATGAAATTTTCATGTGCAATAAGGGAGCCTGAAAAATGGTAAATCACCTGGATGTGATGAGATACCACTGAATTGATTAAAGGGGGGCGGGAGGAGAAGAAAGCATAGAAAAATCATATCATAGCCTAATGTGAAAAGAATATGGAAATAAGGTATTTGGCCAAAAACGACTGGAAGAGAACTAATCTTTCATTCCAATACCAAAAAATGGTGACCTGAAAATTATGTACAAACTATCGAACTATTGCCCTGATCAGTCATGCAGTAAAATTCTACTAAAAATTATAATGAGAAAGACTGCATAAGAAAATGGAAGAAGAGCTTATTGTTAGCTCAGGCTCGGATTTAGACAGGGAATGGGAACAAGAGATCATATATTCAACATAGCGTTTAATAATAGAGAATTGTAGAGAATTTAATGTAAATCTCTCTTGATGTTTTGTGGATTATTCAAAAGCATTTGACGGGTGTACACCATCAGAAGCTTTGAGAAATCATGATATGGGCTTTCCATCCAATATAGTGCAGCTCATTTAAAATGCTCTAATAAGACACAACAAGCATCAGTCAGAATAGAGGATGAGAGGACATCAGACTGTTTGGCATCAAGCAAAGGCGTCCCGTCAGGGATGTGTGCTGTCACCGGCTGTATTATTTCAACCGGTACGCCCGAAAATATAATGAGAAATGTAAGAAGATGATATAAACAAGGAACAATAATGCTGCCCTAAACATCGCTGGTCATGAAATACCAGACAATTCGTTTATGCTGATGATACAGTATTACTATCCAACAATCACAAAATGGTTTTAGAAAACCCTTATTAAACCTCACTCCAAAGAAATAGTGACAAATCATAAACTTATTTCTTAACATAGCAAAAAACAAACTAATGCATACAAACAAACTGCCATGAGAAGGAAATATATGTTAATGAGGAAGGATTGGGAAGTGGGTGGAAAATTTCGAATATCTTGGTCACTGGTTACCAACAATGGTGACACAATGAAAGAAATTAAACGGCGGACATCAAAGTGCTGCTTCAAAGACTAAAACAACTGAACTAAATTATGGGAATTGTAAACAGATAGAATTACAAAGGTCCAGATTTTTAAGTGGCATGCATCTTGTCCCATTGCAACTACGCCTGTGAGACCCCCCCCCCCTGGACAACTTACTAAACAAGCGGAACAAAACATAAAATGACATTTGAATATAAATGTTACAGACAGGTTCTAAGAATATACTTGGGTAAAGCAAATGCATGCCATACTTCAGCGAGCTGACATATTGAAGAATAAAAAAAGAAAATTGAAATATTTTGGTCCTTTGAAACGTCTGGAAGTCTAGAGAGAACAATAATGGAGGGGTATATGCCTGCGGAAGAGAGGAAGAGGAAGGCCAAGGAGAAAGATGGGTGCAGGCTGTGGCAGAATGATCTCCACAGATGGGTTGTATTCTTGCCTCAGGAGTAGGAAGCCGGAGGGTTGTTGATGGCAGCGAGGTTCCGCGAGGGACATGCTACTGAATGAGAATGAATATCTTGTTAGGAAGCTCATGCTTTTATCAGTCTTGGCATGACAAAAAAGCCATATATACCACGGCATGGTGTAGACTCAAGGGCAATGTTATGATGGGAATAATTAAATTAAAGTACTTCAGAAAAAATCGTCAGGAAAAATATAAATCGACAATAAACATAGAAAAATGAGCACTACTGAACTCACTCTTGGAAGCATCAAAAATGTCCAGCCCCATGAAGGCAATATAAACGAAATCTAGTAAAACAAAATAACAGCTTATTAAAATAAAAAAATAAAAAAAATCCTATCTAGGCAGGGAATGGCCACTTAATGACAAAAGAAACACTGACCTTTTCGTTATAAATTTGGACTGGGAAGCTCAAAAAAAAGAAATCTGTCCTTGCAATTCCATGACACTGGGTCAAAAGGTAACCACACTAGCTATTGCATTACCCAGCTTCTCAGTACAATAACTGCCAATTACTGCCCGTTTTTAACAATTTTGCAATTTGGCAGTGGGTTCCTTGAGCCTACATATTTAATGCTCCATGGCTAGTGCAGTCGTCATAGACTCTGTAGGCTATGATTTTATTTTCGCACCCGACAGAAAAACTGCATTATCTTATCGATAATTAAACCTGGGTATACGATATGACATTCCCGTGCTTTTAACCATTTAGCCAGCCTCGGTATATTAACATTTAACAATGCTATTGTTAAATTCACTGCCCTAAGTTTCCCATGTAGTTTCTTGGGCCCTATTTTTGGGGTTTTAATAAAAAGACCCATTGTCTCTTAACAGCATGTCATAAAAGATGACTAAGGATTTGCTGAAATTGGATGTTCTAGGCTGAAAGGCACAGACACTGCAGCCTAGCTGTAAACCACAATACAATGTGTCGACCGTCCTTTTGAAGGGCAAATGAAAAAGAAGACTGCCTCCAGTTTCATTGTAATTTGATTCACTAGTTATTGTACACCATTCACATATATAAACAAGAACAGTTCACAAATAACATGCAAGTGAAGAGGTTATGTCTGCTATATTCAAATACTTAAAAAAAAAAGGAGGATTCACACAGTACAAGTTTTTTAACCATAAAAGTTTGCTATTATAATAGAGTAAAGACAGTTTGAAGCTTTCCCTGCCATTCCATCAACTCACTGGCCAAAGCAATCATCCAGAGTTCAAACCTTAGTAGTGACATGTATGGATGGACTGTTGTCTGCCATTGCGGTTCTGGGATTGTCAGCCTTATACAAGAGCAGTGGACAATTGCTTATTATTATAAAATAAAAATAGAGAAGTAAGCTAGATTATCTTATTGTGTGACATAACCTAGGTTGAAGGTCAAAAACATCAGACCAGGATGGCATCAGTGTCATTAGATTAGCAGTTGTTACAGTTTAAAACAAACGGTAATTGAAACAAGATGGCTTCTCATGACTTACTTTTAAAGTTTTGATGAGATAAGAGGCATTGACACTTGCAGGGATACTTAAATGTAACTCAGATCCCAGGTTGTCAAAACTGGGTACATTGTCATTCTGGTCTTCAACTTGGACCAGAACAGTGGCAAAAACTTCACCTGGTGGACAAAGTACAGATAAGTTTGCGGTTAGAGCATTTAAAATATATTTCTATATGATACAAAAAAAAAAAAAAAAAACATAACAAAGAAGTGTGATGTCACCGCTTCTTGAATGGATAACACTCAGTACAATAAATCCTAACATATGTTACCTTATCTAGTTTGAGAATGGAGGTGGAGGCAGTCAACGCAGATTTCAACTGGCTTAAGAATCAGCAGTGCAATCATGTCCTGATTGAAACTAACCAACAACAGATCAAGCCAGTTTATTTCTCATTTGATAAAACCTATTTTATAGTTAGTAAGTTAGTTAATTAGTTGGGTTATCATCATTGCACTCCGCATGTCCATAGGTACCTATTTTATAAAGACTTTATATGACTCTGGGAAGCAGCCTCTAAATATTTACTGCAGAAATTGTTGCTGTTCTGAAGGCACTAGAAAAAATGTATGATAGACCCCTCCCCTCCCCCCACCTTTTTCACAGGTTGACTGTTTGAACAGACTCCCTATTTATGGTAGTGACTCTTAAAAATACCAGGATATGTAATAGAAATGACTCACAGAGGAGATTTTCTTGGCCACAACTTATCTAAAAACAAGAGGATAAAAGTACAAAACGACCCTCTTCCACACCTTTAGGCGTATAGGGCATATAAGGCTAGACCTATATTTTTATAGACCAACGGCACAAGATGGGTGATGTGGTCAGCATCAAGCTGGCCGCCCTTACTTCCCGGGACTTCACCCGGTACCCACTCAAGGCTGGGTCGACCTGGGAGCCAAGGTCAAATTTGAAAAAAAGTCAGGCTCCACCAGGGAACGAACCAATGACCTTCTGATCCGCGGTGAGCATCTAGCTGCTCTGCCACAGTGACTCCCAAAAACAAGAGGATGCTCAGCGCTAATTATGTGGATATCAGCAAATGTGGGAGCTGAAGGAAATGAAAGGCAGCTAGAGAAGAAAAAAAAAGAAGAGCAAATAATAATAAAATACAAACAGCTATGAGTAAGGATGATTTTAAATCAATGATTAAAAAAATAAAGGGGGGGGGGGGAATAGAAGAATGGACAGGGATGTGAAATGATAACTTGAAGGAAAGGTGTGCCTAGAAATTGTTTAAGGCTCCTACTAAAAAATTTTTAAATAACAAGATACCTAGAAATTACTGAGACTACAACTTGGAGGGGCTTACTTCACTATAGCAAAAGTTACCTGTTCTGTATGTCAGGTACTGATACTGAACATTATTTACTCTACTGCAAGATATATGAACTCCAAAGGACACCCCCTCCCCCCACTCCCCCTCCCTTAATGAATATATGACCCACTGAAATAAGCCTTTGACAATTGAAAACATACTGGGAGTAGTTGGTTCTAGAGAACTACAGGAAAGGATTAAATAGTACATAACAAAAACAGGGATCAGCATAGGAGATGTTAAGATATCTTAAGACAGAATAATGGTATTCCAGATCACTTCAAATATCTGCAAAGACAGACAACACAGTATAATTACTATTATTGTTTGAAAGTACACTTAAAATATATTGAATGTGACAATCTATATTTCTACAACCTTATACAATTAATACATAAGCTATGTGATATTGAATAACCAAACATAATTGGCAGACATTTTGAAAAAACAATATTCAGAAACGATGAGTTGTTAACCCTTTGGCTCGGTACTATGGATATCGCAACCCTTCGGCCTTGATTCAATGATAGATACTGTAAATCTGGGAGAAATTTGGCTTTTCTGCCTACCCCCGGGCGTGAACCTGGACCATAAGGAGTTCGTCACCCAATCGTCACGTTGTAAGGTTTAACCAACTGAGCTAGCGGGCCGGGAAATTAGTAGACATTAATATACATTACTGAAACAGAAAAAATACTCTATACATCCCAATTATAGCCTACTCTATACATCCCAATTATAGCCTACTCTATACATCCCAATTATAGCCTACTCTATACATCCCAATTATAGCCTACTCTATACATCCAAATTATAGCCTACTCTATACATCCCATTTATAACCTACTCTATACATCCCAATTATAACCTACTCTATACATCCCAATTATAACCTACTCTATACATCCCTATTATAACCTACTCTATACATCCCAATTATAACCTACTCTATACATACCAATTATAACCTACTCTATACATCCCAATTATAACCTACTCTATACATCTCATTTATAACCTACTCTATACATCCCAATTATAACCTACTCTATACATCCCAATTATAACCTACTCTATACATCCCAATTATAACCTACTCTATACATCCCAATTATAACCTACTCTATACATCCCAATTATAACCTACTCTATACATCCCAATTATAACCCAAATTACTACTACAATGACTAGGAAAAAACCCAGCCATGTGATTGCAAAATTATGAGGAATGTAACTGACCACCTCAGTTCTTAATGCCATGACCTTGTTCATGTGCAGTGCTTTTTTTCCCCCTCATCTTTAAGCCAGAATCTTCCATACAATTACAATTTTATTTACCAGACAACAATGTTTACAAATGTGTTAAATATTCAAAAAAAAAAAATAAAAAAATATACTTAAGAACACAGCTCTCCTCCGTCTGCCATTGAGCAGTGTCGCTGAAGGATCAAGGGCAAGGCTGACATTCAGCACATACACAGAAAATCTCTCTCGGTCCAGAGATTCTCGCACTGACAAGATACCTGTGGCTTTTTCTATGTAAAATGCAGCTGAAAAAATGAGCAAATAAATTATTGTTCTATGTTAAATGCATTTTTTAAAAACAATTAGCAAAAAGAAGATACCAAATTTGTCTGTGCAAAAGACAATATGTTTCCAGTTTAAAATTGCAGTTTGTCTTATACATGGAAATGTATTTAAAATATTTGTTTTCCTAATTTTAGGCTAAAAAAAGGGGGGTTTTCTAATACATGGCAGACATCTTATACACAGAAAAGTATGGTAGTTTCTCCATGTAAAATTAAACTAAAAAACAACCCCTCCACACCCCTCCCCCACCCAACAAAACAACACAGTTTAAAAGTAAAGTGAAGGAGACCCTTTTCCACGCCTTCAGGCGTATAGGGCATATAGGGCTAGACCTACATTTTATAGACCAATCGGCACTCAGTGGATGATATGGTCAGCATCACTTCGGCCGCATTTACTTCTCAGGAGTATACCTGGTACTCACTCGTGGCTGGTCAGCATGGGAGCCAAGGTCATTTAAAAAAAAAATAAGTCCGGCTCGGTCAGGACCCGAACCCAATCACAAGCGAGTGTCTAGCTAACAACACGTTATGTATGTATAAAATACAGCTAAATAAATAAACATTTTTTTGAAACCTGATACAAAACACAGCAGCATAAAAAGTTTGACTGACTGCTACTCTGAGCGGGTCTTTTAGACGTTTTGTAATTTCATCCTCTCGAAAGGTTTAATGGATGTGGACTTGTTGTTTTAGGGCAGACGTTTCTGTGTTAGTTGGTTAGGTGGCTGGTAGTTGTGTTCAGTAAATCCAGATTGGTACCCATTATATAATAATGTTTGCTTCAGGGCTACAACTTCTGATTGTAGCATATTTCTGGAGCAGATCTTTCTAGCGTGGTTAAATGTTTGCTTCAGGGCAACCACTTCTGATTGTAGCATATTACTGGAGCAAATATTTCTAGAGTGGTTAAATAATGTTTGCTTCAGGGAAACCACTTCTGATTGTAGCATATTACTGTAGCAGATCTTTCTAGCGTGGTTAAAAAATAAACTTTTTTCTTAAAGTTTCCATAAAATACAACCTATTGAATTTAACTGAATCTCAGAAAGCAATCTTTTATAGAGTTCCCTGGGATCATTGCTGCAGTTTTGGAGTTAGTGCTTTACATAATGTCCTCAGTAGATTGCCAGTTTTACTTATCTCACCTGAATATGTTAAATTAAAAAAAAAAAAAATTATTATTACAGCTACTATTAACTGCGGCGTCCGTGGCTAAGGCGTTGCGAGTCCGACTCGTAAGCCAGCATACCGCGATCGAAACCCACTGCAGGCTGCGTGGATTTTTGTCGTGGTATGGGACGTCGCAGGTCGACCCAGCCTAAAATGGGTACCAGGATGGGCTGTCCTGGGAAAGTAAAGACAGTCGGCGTAATGCTGACCACATTACCCACAGAGTGCTGATGGTCTGTAAAAATATGGGATGCTCTGCCCATATGCCCGATGCACCGAAAGGCGTGAAAAGGGAACTTTACTTTACTTTACTTACTATTAACTGGTTAAATCACAAAATAAATTTCTTGTTTTGTACAAGTTGTATACTCACAGTAGGAAGCAAGCAGTGAATAGATGACAGGAAGTCCCAGATTTTCTGCATTGCTGTCTATGTCAAGAATGATCTGGGAACTGTTGTTCTGTTCTATGACTACAGCTGCATAACTCTGCTGACTAAATGTGAGCCTGTCAACGTGAACCACCAGCTAAACATAAAATAGAAAACATAATTCAATACATTTTTTTCATTTTCAAAAGGTTATGAATTTGGCATCCAGTTCTGTCTAATATCCCCCACTTGCGACCTCACTCCTTTCATTATTGTTTCATTCATGTATCTTTTAGCAGGCCATCTTAATGATGTCACACAGTAATGAAAGAAAAAAAATCGGTCATAACCTCATATTATTATGTTAGTTGTGTATCCTTTACAGGACGTTGCAGAACCAACACAAGCACTGGCTGTTGTAGTTTTTCTAGGCAAATTTATGTCTAGTAGTTTGCCATTGCTTTCTGGACGTTCGGCTTCTCGATACCACTGTTGAAACCAACGCAAGGCCCGCAGCTGGGATCGAACCTGGCACCCCGGCATTACGAAGCGCGTGCGCGATGCCTTAGCCACAGATGCCGACCCCATGCATTTCATAAAAACAAAAATCCTTAAATACAATTTTACACAAGTAACTAATACATTTTTTTTAATGTGTGTGTGTGTGTGTAGCCATATATCATATATATATATAGATATAATATATATATATATATATATATATATATATATATATAAATATATATATATATAATATATATATATATATATATATATATATATATATATATATATATATATATATATATATATATATATATATATTTATATAATATATATATATATATATATATATATATATCCATATATATATATCCATTCTGTCTACTCCCATTAACACCTTCACTACCAAGAAACTCAGTATATTCATTGCTCACTCTTTATGTGTTACATTTTTATGAACTTTTCCCTCGTTAAGCAATCTGCCATATTAACTCATTTTATTTAAACTGTTACTATACATAGTTATAGAAGTCGTCCTCATGTGGGATGCAATTTTTCATTATTTGAAGCCCCACCCTGGCTTTATCCAGGGGCCCTGAATATAGCTGAGCCATAAATATAGCTGAAAGCTGAAAGGGGTTTCTGTGATCTCTCCATGGGTGATCTCATCCGCATGGTGGCACTTTGTGTCACCTGGTGTTTATCACTTGTGTGATGTCCTGGTGGGGTAGAACAAGAGAGAGAGAAAGAAAGAGAGAGAGAAAGAGAGAGAGAGAGAGAGAGAGAGAGAGAGAGAGAGAGAGAGAGAGAACGAAAGAGAGAGAAAGAGAGAGAGAGACTGCTACTATACTTGTGTACATTACAAAGCATTATTTTCCCATTCCACCTGACTTGAAAATTGTTGCTCTATGAGCAACAGTTGACTGAACAATTTAGAGTGCTGAGCTCTCAAGTGGGAAATCCAGGTTTGAATCCTCAGTAAGGATGCAGACGTTTTACCTTTGAGGACAAAGAAACAATTCTATACTGCACAGTTAGTGGTGACTGCACTTGCAGTGTGGCCTTCAATCCTCAGGCTCAAAGACCTGTCTGCCTACACCATAAAAATAGTAAATACACACGAAGTAATGGGTTTTTGTATAGTTCTGTGACACAAATGCTTTAGACTAGACCAGTGGTTCTCAACCTTCCTAATGTGGCCACCCTTTAATACAGTTCCTCATGTTGTGGTGACCCCCAACCGTACAATTATTTTGGTTGCTTCTTCATAACTACAGTGAATATTATTTTTTATATGGTCTTTGGTGACCTTCATTTAAAGGTCATTTGACCCATAAAAGGGTCATGACCCACAGGTTAAGAACTGCTGGTCTAGACAGTAGCAACAACCTGCGACTGAACAAGTAAACTGCTAGAAGAGAGTCAACAACCTCCTGTGAAACATTCTGTCCCGTGGTGCTGGTTGCTGTAATGATGAGAACATACACTGTCTGTTGTGTCAGATCTTGACTAAGAACAATTTGGTCCTTCGTTATTTCAAAAAATTTGGTCCCATTTTCACCTGTAAGGTTCATGATAAAAAAATATATTATATTCTGAATATAATGAGGTGTCAGTGCAAATATTTATCATAATTTGTTATGTTTAATGCAGTATTTTAGGACATATAGATGCTATCAATGTAGGCATTAGGTTAAATTCTGTAGTAATGATTTTGTGCTACCCTGTTTTAGCCTCTACACGTAAAAATTGTTTGACAAGCCGTTGTCATGTTGTGATGAGGTGCTTTGCATGGTCTCCACACTCACAGCAAGTCAAGTAGTACATTGACAAACCTTTGTCATGTTGTGATGAGGTACTTTGCATGGTCTCCACACTCACAGCAAGTCAAGTAGTACATTGACAAACCTTTGTCATGTTGTGATGAGGTGCTTTGCATGGTCTCCACACTCACAGCAAGTCAAGTAGTACATTGACAAACCTTTGTCATGTTGTGATGTGCTGCTTTGTATGGTCTCCACACTCACAGCAAGTCAAGTAGTACATTGACAAACCTTTGTCATGTTGTGATGAGGTGCTTTGCATGGTCTCACCACTCACAGCAAGTCAATCAGAAAATCCGTGCCACAAATGATCGCTCAAGATACTTGGGGCTGAACAGTCATCGAGGGAGAGTCCTAGGTGGACTCGTGGTCAGTTGCTTGCCAGAAGTCTTAGAAGACGGTTGTGTTAATAGAAGATATAGTTCTAATGTCGTGTGAATGACCAGTGTTATAATAAGTCAGAAGCGATGGAAGTGTGAATAATTGTTGGAGCATATTGAATAAATGCAACAGAATAAACTGACAGCATGTACAAGAAAACGAAGCGGCGTTGGTGTTATCTGTCCTAGACAGTAGCAGCAGTAGTACAAGCCAGCAATATTACAAGCATACAAGCCAGCTACATTACACATGTCATTCAATATTTCTCCGTATTCTTCATTTTGTTCAATAGTGTGGATTTGTACATTGATTGGAGTGAATGAGTTATTGCATTCTGTCATCACTTGTCTTTGTTTGCAATCAGGATATTCATTCACATGTGTTTCTGATACGAAAAATGAAAGGCAAGAATGTTATCTGTCAGTTTATCCAAAAGTAGCAAAACTGGAGTAAATGTGAAGGATGTTTTCATATCCGGGTTATTATGTTAGACTCTTGTGTTTTAGACAAACTGCACTCAGTGGGTGATTTGGACATCACACATGGCTGCCTTTACTACCCAAACTTTACCTAGTACCTATTCTAAAGTGGGTTGACATGAGAACCAAGGTCATGTTAAATGAATGGGGTTTAGAACCTAAGACCTTCACCCAGCAGGAACAGAGCAATTATGAGGTGACCTGCTAAAGTGAAGTTGAAATCACAGGTACCAACAATTTCCCAGATTGTTTTCTTGTACACATTTTAGTTGTGTCCGCCTAGAAGTACAAGTAATTAAAAACTTCCACCTTGACAGGGATTAAAATTTATAAACAACTGGGTCAGCTTACAAACAACGGAACAAAATAAACCTTGCACATCAACATTACCTGATATCTGCAAGATGTCTGCATCCTTTGTTGTAAGGATCACATTAAGTGGTGTCCCTGCTTTCAGTCCCACAATCAGTGATAGAAAATGAGTTGACAAAGAAAGATACGGAACAATACTGGTCCTGTTATCTGTCAGCCTTATGGTGACATTAACTGTATTGTTTAGTGGCGGATTCCCCTGGTCCTTTGCCATAACTACTAAAGTGTAGACGTTTTTGGTCAAAATGGCAATACTCTCAATTTCTCCAGCTGATTAAAATAGAAATGAACAAGAATAGAAAAACACAATTCTTTTTATAATTTTTAATAAATACAAAAAAAAAAAATCATTATTCAATGCACACATTTTTATGTCAGAATGACCAGTTAATTAATGTTATCTGTGTGTGCATGTCTGCTTGTGTGTGCATGTCTGCTTGTGGATGCACGTCTGCTTGTGTGTGCATGTCTGCTTGTGTGTGCATGTCTGCTTGTGTGTGCACGTCTGCTTGTGTGTGCACATCTGCTTGTGTGTGCATGTCTGCTTGTGTGTGCATGTATGCTTGTATGTGCATGTCTGCTTGTGTGTGCATGTCTGCTTGTGTGTGCATGTCTGCTTGTGTGTGTATATCTGCTTGTGTGTGTATGTTTGCTTGTGTGTGTATATCTGCTTGTGTGTGCACATCTGCTTGTGTGCACATATCTGCTTGTGTGTGCACATATCTGCTTGTGTGTGCACATCTGCTTGTGTGTGCATGTCTGCTTGTGTAAGCACATATCTGCTTGTGTGTGCATGTCTGCTTGTGTATGCACATATCTGCTTGTGTGTGCATATCTGCGTGTGTGTGCACATATCTGCTTGTGTTTGCACATCTGCTTGTGTGCACATAACTGCCTGTGTGCGCACGTCTGCTTGTGTGTATGCTATCTCCATAGTGGAAGCTTGCCGTGGATGTCTAAATTCAATGTTGTCTTTAGGAATATTATGTGATGTGACCCCTATCTTGTTTTACTGTAACTCTTGTGCCAATGTTTGAAAGCCAGAAAAACAAGTCGTTGTAAGTGCTATTCAAGGAAATGACATGATGAGGCTGTGATACACATTAACCAACCATCAAGCCACATAAATTGTAACCGTATTTTCTGACTCTTTTGTATCGCAGACAGTTGATTCAGTAGTTCGTGCTATCTTACCTGTTGGAGGTAAAGGCAGCATTCCAATGGCTGCACAGCCCAATGTGTTGTAACTGTAATTGACTCACAAAACATGCCTAGAGAAACAGAAACTGGCATTCTATGCGCTGAGTGGCTTGCATCACTTGATAAGGCTCAAATCAGGAGCAATAGGGGCTGCATGGTCTCGAGGTATGGCATCTGCCTTGAGTGCTGGAGGTCCTGAGTTCAAACCCTGGTGAAGGCTGGGATTTTCTTTACTTGAATTTCTAGTAATTTCTCCTGGTCTCTGAGTAGTAAGACAGGATGCTCGTGTGTTTTGTTGTGCATGTTAAAAAAAAATCCCTTGGCAGTAGGAAATCAAAAAGAGTAGTCTAACGGTGCTGCCCTGGCAAAATTTGGAGTTAAAAAACATTCTCGCCAGTGCAACAGAGTTTATTCACTGTGTTGAGATTCTTTGGACTCAGGCTTAACTTAGAAGTAGAATGCAGCACTTATGGGTTTACAGCCGTGTTTCATGATGTCGATCTGTCCACTAAACTGAACTAGATCAGGAACATATCATGGATTTTCTGACCAGAGATTCAAGTGTGTGAGGTAATGAGCAAGCTGATAGATTGGTTGTTACTGCTCCTCTGAGTCATGAGCTAATTTTTGATAAAGCACACAGTGGGACCGCTTTCAGGGATGAAGTCGACAGTACAACAGAATAGAGTATTTTTACCTTGAAAGATTCAGCAGGGGGGGGGGGGGGGGGGGGGGGGGGGGGAGTAGAGGTTCTGGAAGATATATTCAATATGAGGAGGATAATATAGGGGACTTTTAATCAGGTTGCAACTGGTACTGCTAGCATGTCAGCTCTTCATTGGCTACCGAGGAAGAAGACGGAGCACACGTAGGAATTTACTGAGTACAGGGATGTTAATACCTAATAGATTCATTATTCATTTATACTTGTTAACTTCATTTCCTCTGTCCAACAGTTATCATTTTAACTCCTGGGGTACTAATGAACTGGTTGCTTTAAGTTAGAAATTCTAATCATCTTCTTCTTCTTCAGCATTTCAAACCCTTGAAAATCATTGCTACAGATATCACCTGCCTGCATTTATTTCTGTGACTGGCTTTCTCTTTCCTGATGATGACTCGAAGAGTCTGCTGTCCTGGTCTGCTTCAGAATATACTCCCATTCAATTCTTTTGTGCACGCAGATTTTGTGATTCTCTAATTAGAAAAACTGTTTGCTGGTAATATTGAAATTGTTTATAAACACCAGCAATGTTGTAATTAACACTTTTAACACAGATGAATAACATTAGTCAAGTACTGTCAAAACTTACAGAGTGGATCAATTTTGAAAGTATTACGATCTGACTGAAGAGAGTATCTTATCTCTTTGTTCAGTCCCTCATCATCATCAGTAGCTGTTATTTTTGTAATCTGAATTGAAAAGAAACATTATAAACTGAGAATCCATAAATATGTATATCTATAAGCCAGAAACAAAAAACTCAACAGATGTGACTGTTTAGTGCGTTTCAAAAGTCCTGCTTTCACATTTTAAAAAGAAACAGAACTTAACTTTCAAGTGAGTCGTGCATGTAGGGATAATTTTAACTTTTACTACAATATATGAAAGCTGAAGAAACACATTTTGATATTCATTAACAGTTTATGCGGTTAAAAAAACTGAGAAGATATTTAGGAATAGTAAATATGAAGGTTATTGCACAGCAGATACTCCTGACTCATTGAAGTGATACTTGATATTCACTAGCTACTCCCTATCTGGTTTCCAGGGTCCCGCTGGTGGGAGAAAAAGGATAGACCCACTGCCCCCTAACAAGCATGTCATAAGAGTCGATTAATTAGGGGTCAGAGAGCTCTGAAGTCAGACTGCATTTACCCGAGCGGCAAGGAATCAACAGTCTGCATAAAAGTAAACAAAATGTGTAAAATGGATGTGCATGATGAAAAATTGAGAGAAAGACCGAAGTCCAGAAGTGGATGAACAACCAAAACTTTCTGCCAGAGTTTACAGCCGGCAAATGCAATGAAGGAGTAGAAGATTTACTCGTTATTTGTTGTCCATATCAATATCTTAGCACATTGGTCCGACTCATGCATGCTCTGTCCTCAGATACATCAGCCCTCTCAGTGTCTTAATGCTAACTGTACCAAATTCTGATTCCATTCTAGGGAGGAAAAAAAACACTAAAAGCTTGACCATGTTCAACCTGCTGTTGCCAACAGTCTCTGGTTATATTTGTTGTCAGGTTTATTTGCACCACTCGTGTGGCTAAGTTTATGGTAAGTGCACTTGCTCTCTAGCTTAAGGTCCCTATCTTCATAGCTAGATAGCTAGACTGCTTCTTTAATAGTCTGTTCCTTTTTGGCCTTGTCTTGCTGATGCTTTTTATCCTTCTGTACCCTTCTATTCTGGTCAGGCATATCACATAAGAGCCTGAGCTTTTCTACACAGCGTCCTTCTGAACCAGCCATGAGGATTCCGATTCTGTTCTAGAAAAAAATCAATCACTGTACCCAGCAGAAAATGACTGGCATATCGTCTTTGTTTTTCCTGCAACTGGTTTCTGCGTGATGCTCCTTGTTTAATACCCATTTTCAACAGGCGGTTGGTTCATCGTCTCTGACGAGAATACTTTATACACACAAGATGATTACATAATGGGTGTTTTATGTTAATTCATTGTATGTGATTCAGAGGTGCTAGACTACAAATAAGCTACATCTATAAGATTGATGTGCTTCCAAACTTAAGTCCTGGAACAAAGCTTAAGTCTAAAAAGTGGATGAACAATCAGGACTTTCTGCCAGAGTTAAAAGCAGTGAATGCAGCAAAGAAGAAAAAGATTCACTGTTTGTCATTAGGTAGGACATATTACACCAATAAGTAAAGGCAATACTGGTTTAAATGGTCACAATGGGATCGGGAAATACATAATGCGATTTTTGAGAATCTTCCTGTTCTCAGTTTCTTAGGAAAAAAAAACCTTCCCTGAAATGTCAAGATATGTTTTTGTGTGCATGACTGTACAGGTCTGCATTTCCTTTAATTATGTAATGAAGCAGTCTCATAAATGTTGTCAAAATCCATAATGGATAAACAGTTTTAATGTACACAGCAAAGGGAATCAACTCTGAATACAAGTGCACAAAGGAAACAGGTTTTCGCCTCAAATACAAGTCTCATAGCTAAAACTAGATGCTTCACTGCCAGACAGAAGGTCTTTGTTTGAATCTGCATTGAACTGACATTGGGCTGTCAGGGTTGACCCAGCCTAAACTGACCACCAGGAAATGTCATCGGACGTAAAGGTGGGTGACCATATGTTTATTACATCATCCAGCAAGTACTACTGATTCATCTAAAATTGAGCATCGTAATGCCTTAAGTGTCAGTAGCCTCAAAAGGGTCTTTTATTTATTTATTTTTACCTATCTGAACACTTTTGGTCCCAGAGGGAGGCAGCAGGTTCTTTAAAAAAAGGGGAATAACTATGATGAGAAAAATCCCAAGCACTAGTCTGATATTAGGTGTATTATGCTGTCATGGTTTCTATCCAGGACACATGAAGTAACAATAATAACTAGGACACATGAAGTAACAATAATAACTAGGACACATGAAGTAACAATAATAACTAGGACACATGAAGTAACAATAATAACTAGGACACATGAAGTAACAATAATAACTAGGACACATGAAGTAACAATAATAACCAGGACACATGAAGTAACAATAATAACTAGGACACATGAAGTAACAATAATAACTAGGACACATGAAGTAACAATAATAACTAGGACACATGAAGTAACAATAATAACTAGGACACATGAAAGTAACAATAATAACTAGGACACATGAAGTAACAATAATAACTAGGACACATGAAGTAACAATAATAACTAGGACACATGAAGTAACAATAATAAACTAGGACACATGAATAGTAACAACAATAATAACTAGGGACACATGAAGTAACAATAATAACTAGGACACATGAAGTAACAATAATAACTAGGACACATGAAGTAAAATAATAACTAGGACACATGAAGTAACAATAATAACTAGGACACATGAAGTAACAATAATAACTAGGACACATGAAGTAACAATAATAACTAGGACACATGAAGTAACAATAATAACTAGGACACATGAAGTAACAATAATAACTAGGACACATGAAGTAACAATAATAACTAGGACACATGAAGTAACAATAATAGCTAGGACACATGAAGTAACAATAATAACTAGGACACATGAAGTAACAATAATAGCTAGGACACATGAAGTAACAATAATAACTAGGACACATGAAGTAACAATAATAACTAGGACACATGAAGTAACAATAATAAACTAGGACACATGAAGTAACAATAATAACTAGGACACATGAAGTAACAATAATAACTAGGACACATGAAGTAACAATAATAACTAGGACACATGAAGTAACAATAATAACTAGGACACATGAAAGTAACAATAATAACTAGGACACATGAAGTAACAATAATAACTAGGACACATGAAGTAACAATAATAACTAGGACACATGAAGTAACAATAATAACTAGGACACATGAAGTAACAATAATAACTAGGACACATGAAGTAACAATAATAACTAGGACACATGAAGTAACAATAATAACTAGGACACATGAAGTAACAATAATAACTAGGACACATGAAGTAACAATAATAACTAGGACACATGAAGTAACAATAATAACTAGGACACATGAAGTAACAATAATAACTAGGACACATGAAGTAACAATAATAACTAGGACACATGAAGTAACAATAATAACTAGGACACATGAAGTAACAATAATAACTAGGACACATGAAGTAACAATAATAACTAGGACACATGAAGTAACAATAATAACTAGGACACATGAAGTAACAATAATAACTAGGACACATGAAGTAACAATAATAACTAGGACATATGAAGTAACAATAATAACTAGGACACATGAAGTAACAATAATAACTAGGACACATGAAGTAACAATAATAACTAGGAAATATATATATATTTATTATCACTTTTCATAATAAAGGCTAAAATAATTGTCTGGGGCAAAAGGGGTTAATTTCAATAAACAATTACTAAGATAGAGGAATGTAACCTTTTGAAATAAAATGAATTCAAACTTAGGTGAAAAGGATCACCACAAAGAAACAAACTAAATTCAGGTAGCACAGAAATCGTCCTCCATAAAGCAGGCCTTCGAGCGGCTAAAAGAGGACAAAGTTTGACATTTTTGTTTTCTTTTTTCCAAGTTCCAAGTTCCAAGGTAAAAAATCATTGACAGTTGGACGATTAGTGAACAATCATTTGGAAGCAGCAGAAATGTGGTTTTATAGATGATTGATCAGAATAATCTAGACAAATAATGAGAGTAATCAAGATGTCTTAAAATAAACTGACTCATCAAGAAAACTGGCTACCCACATCAGAAGCAGACAATCTACATACTTTGGTCATGTCATAAGATGGAGAAAACTGGAATACATCGTGACAGTGGGAAAAATGAAGGGGAAAAAAGATACATGGAGACCAAGAAATCTAGACAGTTTATCCTCATGGTATGGAAGATCATCTGTATCAGAAATGATTGTTGGTACATGAGATAAAAGGTTGAAAATAGACATGACTACCACCACGCAGCACAGACTATAAGAAGAAGATTTTATGCATAAATGTGATTTTATTCTTAGCTGAATATTAGAAAACAAGCAACACTGGAAAAGTAGAAACATTTTTTGGTTTCAGATTTAAAATATCCTGGCATAAAAAAACATACCTGTATAGGTGGTACTGTTGCTGTGATGTTGTACTCATAGTAAAACTGGGTGAAATTTGGAGCATGGTCATTTTGGTCTGTCACAGTAACATGAACAGTTATGGTTGCATTCAAGGCTGGAGAGCCACCATCCACAGCCTGTTTTTTTAATTTGTAGAAAACACAAAAAAATTAATGCATGTGCCATTAGCCATAGGTAATAAATAAAGTAAAAAAAAAAGAAAGAAAATTATTGATATTAGGTAAACCAGAGTAAAGAATAGTAAAATAAAGTAAAGAAAAATAGGTGAATTATAGGTGTAAGGTAAAGTAAAGGAGTAATAGTAAAACAAATTAAGCAAAGAAGGTAACAGCAAGTAAGGTTTAGACAATAAGTATGATATACTTATGAAGTAACAGTTAAATAAGTAAAGTAATGGAATTTAAAGTAAGCTACAAGTAACAACCCTGGCGGAGCCGGACTTAAAAAAAATGACCTTGGCTCCCAGGTCGACCCAGCCTTGAGTGGGTACCGGGTGCAGTCCCGGGAAGTAAAGGCGGCTGGCATGATGCTGACCACATCACCCATCTTGTGCCGACTGGTCTATAAAAATATAGGTCTAGCCCTATATGCCGTATACGCCTAAAGGCGGGGAAAAAGGTCCTTTCCTTTTTTGTTTTCACAAGTAACAAGTCAATGAAGTAATAGTAAATTGTATGTAATAAGTAAAGTACAGGAAGGAACAGTATGCAAGTTATATAGGTAATAATATTTATAAATGTGAAAATACCTTGAACGTTTCCTCTTCCTCCTCCTTCACCGTCTTCTTCATCCCATTACAGCAAAGGCCCTCAAACAACTTGTGTCCAGCTGCTCAATCTTTTGCTTTCTCCTGCAGCTTTATTTGTGTCAATCTTATAAAATTCGCCTCTGTAATTCTTGTCTACACACGTTTTGAGTCAATCTTTATTTCTTTTGCTCTGTAGGTTCTAGAGATAAACTCTCTAGTTGTACTACTATTACATTCTCAAAGTGTGTCATATCCAGCACCACATTCTTTCCCTCACCTGTAATCTGCCTAGTTCTCTCCCTAAACTCCACATATGTGATTCTGCCACACTAGTTTTGTCCTTTCATTCTCAGCAGCACCAGAAGGACTGCCTTGAGTTGTAATTCAGATACCCCCATTAGAGTGATAAGCTATAAGCTTGGGCTGACATCAATGAAGTCTGGGCTTGCACTGGTACAGTTTAAAGCCCAATGAGAGTCACCACTGAAGATAAATCTTCATTACATAACAACCTGAAATCTCAAAGAAAGCCTAACAGAAAACAGTCATGGGTGGGGCACACACACAAAAAACAACAACATACTATTGGGCAAGTTACCTTAGCCAAGCAGAGACACAGGAGGCAGAAGCTGATTGACAACAACAGATATAAAAACATTTTTGACTCAATCATCATCACATTAGGCAGAGAGTGATATAATGGACTGGCGGTTTAAAGATCCTAATAGTAATCAGTGATTCTCAGCCAGTCAAAAATATATTTTTTTTTCTACTGAGGACAATGGAGCATTTAGGTCTTCAGCCATGAAGCTGAAGGGGTTGCAGTCAGTGCAGCTTGAGACAAGTTACCAGAGCAATAAAAGTGTCTGATCAGTCCAAGATGAGTGGCTACCAAGCATAAGCTATTCTCTCTTACAAAGACTTACATGGATGTACTGTTCATATCTTGATGGAGTATAATACAGTGAATGAACAGATCTGTTGGCTTTTAGAGCACCTGTAGCTAGAACATTCTATGTGGCAAGGAAGATATACTGAAGACTATCTATGAAGAACTGCTAGTTAAAGATACAATAATTAATTGAAAGATTACTCGAGTTTGGCTTCAAATGTGGTGCTGAAAAGATGAAACTGGCATGGTTATATTCTGATTCGTCTGCCCAGAGTGCTATATTTCATGTGCAGTATAAAGATACAATTGACACCAGCAAATCAGACAAAGTTTCACATTTCTAATTAAACCTAACCTTAATAACAAGATCATAGTTAGAGATATTTTCCCTGTCCAGAGCTTGGATTACTGATAAGACTCCAGTACTTTCGTTGACTTCAAAATTTGAAGCTATAAACAAACAAGAAGTAACATATTTCAATATGCCCTAAATATGCTTGCAGGAATTCAAACAATCACCAACATTTTTTAAATAGTGCAAATTCATTATTTATTTTTTACAGGACATTAGTCATTAAAATGTTTTTTAACAAGTGAACTACGACAGATAAGCTCAAAGTGCTGCAAGCTAATTCATATCTCAGAGTAGCTGCAGAAAAGAAACACCTCCTGCATGAGTCCCTAGACAGAGCTAAGGGTCACAGATTGAAACAAGGAAGGTCTAGGATTGTGCAAGGTAAGACACAATTAAACATGTACGTAGGCTCGAGAACATTGGGTGAGGAGAGAAGTGGGTCAGAATGTCGCAGCCAACAGACTTGTGTTGGGTTCTGATCACACTGGACTTTCAGTGCAGGGACTGGCCAGTTGGCACTGCAGAATCAGAAGTTCAACAACTGATTCATGACAATTCTCACCCAGGTGGTGTGATAATCTATACAGATGGCTCTATGTTGAGAGGCAGACAAAGCTCATAGGGGTTCTCAGCAAAAGGGAATAGACATCCCCAAGTGCAACAAAGCCTGGCAAATGACATCACAAGATCAAGTTTGAGAATGGAGGTTGAAGCAGTAACTGCAGTCTTTCACTGGCTTGAGAATCAGCTGTACATACATGTCATAACTGCAACTAACTCACAGACCATGGTGAAAAAGATGGAGATCAGTATACTCCCTGAAGAGTGGCAAGCACTGCTTCTGACGTTCCGGGTACTCAGCATTCTGCTGGTGTAATAAGAAATGAATTGGCAGATAGACTGGCTGGTTCTGCCCAACTTAGTGGTGAACTGATGCATGACAGGCTAGATGTTGTAAGGGCCCTTTGAGGGCGGGTGAACAGTGTGGAAGCCCAGATAGATCATCAATGGTATGAAGAGTATGGTGCTGCGAGGAGTGACCACATGATATGCGGCGCTTATGGGAATGTGCCAAGTACTGTGATGTCGATTCTTAATGTAACATTAAACATTCTGGACACTGCATCTCTGGAGCCCACCAAATGTGAGATCCCCGGCCAGTTGATATGAGTCATTACTTGTAGCGCATGATGAGGACATGTTACAGGAGTCTTGCATGAGGCTCCGTTAAGGGTCACAGATTGAAAATCATTAAACCGGCACAAAGCCTCCTGGCGCCTGAGGTGAGCTGCGGAGTATCTCCTTATTCACATCCCAAAGGCCTTAACTTCTCCCCACACCTGTGACAAAAATCACCATGCTATTGACTAGAGATTGAACAGGCTATTTGGGCTTTGCCATTTTGGTTTGCTATCTATGATGTGATTTTTGAGGTTGTAGGTGTGGCAAGATATTCATTTGGTAGCACAGAGGGAAGAACAGAGAGATACAAGGGGATATTTCCCAAAGCCAAGATCAAACTTACGTGAACCGCTGGCTAGAATATAAGTGACACTTCCATTCCTTCCCTCATCAGCATCATGAGCTGTTAATGTAACGAGATCCATTGGGGCTTTATTTTCTAGAGTTGTCAATGTAATACTAGAGCTGTCAAACCGTGGGCTTTCATTGACATCGGTAACATTGACTACCACCTGAAAACATGACAGCAAGTCTTTCAATTAAAAACAAAATTTTATATATATATATATAATACACATATATATGTGTGTGTGTATGTGTGTGTGTATATATATATATATATATATATATATATATATATATATTATATATATATATATATATATATATATATATATATATATAGGTTGAACAAGGTGGAAAATGTTTTATTTTTAGAAACTGGACTGCTGGTCCTTTGCATCCTAATATTTGAAGCACTCTAAGCCACGCCACTGAATTCAAACATGCACTCTAAGTCACGTCAACTCTATGAACAAATAAATCAAGTTTAAAATATCAATCTTTAAAACAGATCTACTACAAGTCATCCCATCTCTACCAACAAACAAATCCAGTCCCTCCAACTTCTAAGCCCCTCTAACTCTCCTAAAAGATCCAGTCCCTCCAACTCTCCTAAAAATGGATCTATTCTAAGTCCCTCCAACTCTCCTAACAAACAGATCCACTCAAAGTTTCTCCAACCCTCCTAACAAACAGATCCAATCAAAGTCCCTCCAACCCTCCTATCAAACAAATCAACTCATAGTTTCTCCAACCCTCCTAACAAACAGATCCACTCAAAGTTTCTCCAACCCTTCCTAACAAACAGATCCACTCAAATTTTCTCCAACCCTCCTAACAAACAAATCCATTCAAAGTTTTTCCAACCCTCCTAACAAACAGACCCACTCAACGTTTCTCCAACCCTCCTAACAAACAGATCCACTCAAAGTTTCTCCAACCCTCCTAACAAACAAATCCATTCAAAGTTTCTCCAACCCTCCTAACAAACAGATCCACTCAAAGTTTCTCCAACCCTCCTAACAAACAGATCCACTCAAAGTTTCTCCAACCCTCCTAACAAACAGATCCACTCAAAGTTTCTCCAACCCTCCTAACAAACAAATCCATTCAAAGTTTCTCCAACCCTCCTAACAAACAGATCCACTCAAAGTTTCTCCAAAACTCCTAACAAACAGATCCACTCAAAGTTTCTCCAACCCTCCTAACAAACAGATCCACTCAAAGTTTCTCCAAAACTCCTAACAAACAGATCCACTCAAAGTTTCTCCAACCCTCCTAACAAACAGATCCACTCAAAGTTTCTCCAACCCTCCTAACAAACAAATCCATTCAAAGTTTCTCCAACCCTCCTAACAAACAGATCCACTCAAAGTTTCTCCAAAACTCCTAACAAACAGATCCACTCAAAGTTTCTCCAACCCTCCTAACAAACAGATCCACTCAAAGTTTCTCCAACCCTCCTAACAAACAGATCCACTCAAAGTTTCTCCAACCCTCCTAACAAACAAATCCATTCAAAGTTTCTCCAACCCTCCTAACAAACAGATCCACTCAAAGTTTCTCCAAAACTCCTAACAAACAGATCCACTCAAAGTTTCTCCAACCCTCCTAACAAACAGATCCACTTACCAAAGCAAGAGCAGACACTTGTGGCTGGCTTTGCTGTATTGCAACAACAGTGAACAGATAATGCCCTTCATTTTCCCTGTCCAGTGCAGCACTGGTTGCGATAGTGCCCTACAAACATAATAAATATACTCTCTTGAAAAAAAAAGCATACAACACACACTCAATACAACACTGACACTCTTCATCTTCTTCTTCCCTTTCTCCAGCTGTAAACTCTGGTGGAATGTTCTGGCTGTTCATCCATTCTTGGACTGCAGTCGTGTTCCAGAAGCTGAGTGTTGTGTGTGCATCTGTTTTACATATCTGACTCATCTGTATGCAGACTGCTGGTTTCTTGCCTCTCAGGCAGACGCACTCCCACTTTGAAGGAAGCTCCCAATTAGTAGATCTTATAACATGCTTTTGGAGTAAGCAGTGGTTCTGTTCTTGTTTTCCATATAATAGGGCCCCCAAACCCACAAGGGAAACACTGAAACTGTTTCTATACAAACATGAGAAGTATACTATATAAAACAGTCAATGAGTTTAAATGTTTAACTCTTTTAGTCCCAAACAACACACTATGTATACTGGATATTACTCATGTGCACTAGCTATGATCTTCTGGGGCTGAAAGAGTTAATGTTCATAAGATCAACTTCATTTTATTGGATATTTATCTCACATGGTCAAATTGAAGTTGGAAATGATATTATCAGACAGACTGAGGAACAACACCATGCAGCCAGTTCACTGAGAAACAGAAGATCAAATTGTTTGGTCATCTACAAGTAGTAAGAATGCCGCCAGAACAACTACCAATGCAAGAGCTACACAAGAAAAGATGTGAAGTCAAAGCAAAAGGCCAACCCCATGAGAACATGGACTGATGACATTAAGAGCTTCTACACTGACATGGAATGACAATAACCATTGCTGCCCATCAAGCAATAGATCGCAAACTATTCTTCCCTTAACTGTAGAAGTGGAAATGATGATGATGATGGTTTGGTATCTTTTCACAGAATGACCAGCCATCTGCCAAGAGTGTTACACAAAGCACAAACTCCGTAGCTCCAGGTGGTTTCTGTAACCTCTGATCCCCCTCTGTTCTCCTAATAACTGCAACAGTTGAAATAGTTTCATTAACTCTCTACTGCTTCTTTTACTTTAGTTTTTGACTGTTACTTTTTCACACAGAAATTATCAACAGTTCACATTGAAAACAATGCACCAGTTTTACAAAAAAATAGTTAACAGAGGATGATTACAAAACAAATAACACAAACTAATCTACTTTTACTGTGAATATAATCAAAATATTTTAATCTCTAAACTGAAAATTGAAACTAAAAAAATTAGCACTAAACTAAAACTAAGACAACAACCTTACAGTTTTAGGATCAATTTCAAATGGAACCTTTCCAAATGGTACATCAATGAAATATGTGGCTGATGATGATGATTTTGCTTTGACTGTGCCAATAACAGCTGCAAATAAAGTGACTAAAATTAGTTTTCACAGAGAAAGTAAAAGTACAAGATGTCTGATTTAGTAGGCTACTCATCATCATCAGGTTCCTTTCCGACTGGCGTGGGCGATCATGCCTCTCCATAATCTGCGATCTCCTGCAGCATGTATCAGTTCGTGTGCCGACACGCTTCCATGCCATGCAACTAGGCTGTCAAGCATCTTCTCTTGTTGTCTTCCTCTATCCCTCCTTCCATAGATCTTTCCAGTGGTCACAACATGTTTATTTTTCCTCGTCTCATAACATGGCCGAAAAATGATGACTGTCTCCTTCTGATGTCTGTGATAAGTTGTCTTTGGGCTCCGGCCTATTTCAAAACCTCTTGGTTGCTCTTCTTGGCTGTCCAAGGTATTCTAAGCATTCTTCTGTAAAACCACATCCCTGAGGCCTCTAGAAATTGTTTGGCCTGCCTACCGATTGTCCAGGATTCACAGCCATATGTTAAAACTGGATGTATGTAGCAAGCAAGAATTCTTTTTCTAACTTTTAATGACAAGGATATATTGCACAAGATGTTTTTTATTTTATAAAATGCAGTTTTTACCTGTCCTATTCTATTTCTTATCTCAGTTATGCATCTTCCATCTGATGTTATCCATGTGCCCAGATACTTTAATTTCTGTACTTGTCCTAAAATAACAACATCGACTTTTATTACACATTTAGGAATAATTCGTTTCTTTGATACCACCATTACTTCTGTCTTCCCATTATTCAAACTGAGGCCCATTTTTCCACTTTCCAACATCACAATGTCTATCATTTCCTGTAGTTCTTTCTGACTTGTTGCTACCAAGACTGTGTCATCAGCATGAGGTAAATTGTTTATATTGTGCCCACCAACCACAATTCCTGGCATACCAATTAAAGCTCTCATTAATATATTTACTGTATATTGAAAACAAATCAGGTGACAGTACACATCCTTGTCGTACGCCCCTCTTTATGCTTTGAAATGTACCTAAACAGTTGTTAATTCTTATAGCTGCTGTTTGCTGCCAATGCATATTCTTTATTATTCGTAGATCTTTACCATCAGTGTTTAATTTTTCTAACAGTTTGATACTTCTTCATGCTTCACAGAAACAAATACTTTGCATTTGTTCACTATTTCTTTTTGAAATCTAGAGTATTCTTCTTTATCATTCTTTTTCTTCCTTCTTTCATCCATCAACTGCAGAATTTCGGTTAACATCCATTTCTTTTTTGCAACTCTATGGGTGGGCGGTATTGTCTCTTTTGATGTCTGCTGAATTGACTCACGCAACATATCCCACTGTTCATCAATAGTCTGTATAATTTCCATTGCATTATACTGGTTTTGTACAGTGGCATTGTACTGTTCCTTAATTTCTTTATCCGTTCTAAGAATTCCTAAATTTAACTTGATGTTCTGTGGTGTTTTTCTAATGTTCTTTAGTTTTATTCTAATTTTTCCTACAACTGGAACATGGTCACTAAAGCAGTCTGCTCTTGGTCTAGTTTTTGCTCTAACTAAGCTGCTCCGGAATCTTCTTGAAATCAAAATATAATCAGTCTGATTGCGGACATTATCACCAGGACTTTTCCAAGTCCACAATCTTCGAGGATGGTGTTTAAACCAGGGGTTACCTATTATCATGCTGTGCGACTCAGCCCATGCTTTTAATCTTTCACCTCTCACATTCTTTTCTCCTAGGCCATAGCCACCCATTATTCCGTACACTTTTTCACTTCCTATTTCGCGTTGAAATTTCCAAGTACCATTGTTACTTCACAATTTTTGCATTGATCAACAGCCTCGTCATAAAATGAGTCAATATCTTCCTCTGAACTATTTGCTGTTGGGGCATAAATCTGTACTAAGTTGATGTCAAACGGTCTGTAACAAAGTTTTACTAATAGTACTCTATCTGATATTGTCCAAAATCCTTTTACAGTTTTTGAGTTCTTTGGATCCAAAATAATACCAACTCCCTTACTATATTCCTTCCCACCCGAGTAAATAATTCTGTACTTGATCTGAATAATTTTCCCCTGCTCCTGGCCATCGAATTTCACTAATTCCTAATATGTTGATGTTCATTCTCTAGTAGGCTACTACTAGTCCATAGAAACCATGGAGCAATACTGCTGATTTTAGGAACAGCGTCTGCAATGACTGTAAATTCCTATATTGCAGTGGCAGCCTCAGCTACAAAGATTATTCATAAAAACATGGATACTCTTTTATACTGAGGCTGGTTTTCTCTCAGAAGCCTCCACTCTCTAGCTTGCTGTGATATGCCTCTTGCAAAGTGTGACAGTCCATCTTTCACTGTTCACCTCCATAGGAGTCGGCCTGCAACTGATCTCTCCCAATTATCTTACAAAAACCAGACACAGATGAATAAATATAGTGAAGTTATATTTACATAGACTGTTTATAACTTTTGTCACACTGTTTTCATAACATAAAAAAAAAAGGAACACATTTTCCTTTGATTTCTTTGACATAGGTTGTGAATACATTGTACAGCCATTAGAGAAAAAAAAAATGCTAATGTCAGTAGGAAATTAAAGGCAATTGTTAAGAAAGAGTGTTATTTAGTATGTGATAGAGAAGAAATGAAGAACATTGAAACATTAGTGGGTAAAAGAAAGAAATATCATCAATCAAAATGATGCAGAACATCACTTATAGCGATCTATGGACATGCACGCACACATGCACGCACACACACACACGCGCACACACACAAATTTAAGAAATATAATGATAATTATGATAAGTATTCAAATGTAAACAAAATGTATATCTTACTCTTAGGTTTTTTATTTTCTTCAACATCCAGGAAGTAAGTCTGTTTGGTAAAGCTGAGAACATTCCCCTGTGGCTTGACAACTTCAACTCTGATAGAGGCATTGGTTGACAGGGGTGGTTGCCCTTGATCTGTGGCAGTCAGGATCAGATCAATGGTGTCATTCTGCATACTACTGTTTGCCTACAAAATAAATGAGTATATTATAGTATATATGTATACTATTGTTTGCCTACAAAATAAATGAGTATATTATAGTATATATGTATACTAATGTTTGCCTACAAAATAAATGAGTATATTATAGTATATATGTATACTAATGTTTGCCTACAAAATAAATGAGTATAATATAGTATATATGTATACTAATGTTTGCCTACAAAATAAATGAGTATATTATAGTATATATGTATACTAATGTTTGCCTACAAAATAAATGAGTATATTATAGTATATTTGTATACTACTGTTTGCCTACAAAATAAATGAGTATATTATAGTATATATGTATACTAATGTTTGCCTACAAAATAAATGAGTATATTATAGTATATATGTATACTAATGTTTGCCTACAAAATAAATGAGTATATTATAGTATATATGTATACTAATGTTTGCCTACAAAATAAATGAGTATAATATAGTATATATGTATACTAATGTTTGCCTACAAAATAAATGAGTATATTATAGTATATATGTATACTAATGTTTGCCTTCAAAATAAATGAGTATATTATAGTATATTTGTATACTAATGTTTGCCTACAAAATAAATTAGTATATTATAGTATATATGTATACTACTGTTTGCCTACAAAATAAATGAGTATATTATAGTATATATGTATACTACTGTTTGCCTACAAAATAAATGAGTATATTATAGTATATATGTATACTACTGTTTGCCTACAAAATAAATGAGTATATTATAGTATATATATATACTAATGTTTGCCTACAAAATAAATGAGTAGATTATAGTATATATGTATACTACTGTTTGCCTACAAAATAAATGAGTATATTATAGTATATATGTATACTACTGTTTGCCTACAAAATAAATGAGTATATTATAGTATATATGTATACTAATGTTTGCCTACAAAATAAATGAGTATATTATAGTATATTTGTATACTTATGTTTGCCTACAAAATAAATGAGTATATTATAGTATATATGTATACTAATGTTTGCCTACAAAATAAATAAGTATATTATAGTATATATGTATACTAATGTTTGCCTACAAAATAAATGAGTATATTATAGTATATATGTATACTAATGTTTGCCTACAAAATAAATGAGTATAATATAGTATATATGTATACTAATGTTTGCCTACAAAATAAATGAGTATATTATAGTATATATGTATACTAATGTTTGCCTACAAAATAAATGAGTATATTATAGTATATTTGTATACTAATGTTTGCCTACAAAATAAATTAGTATATTATAGTATATATGTATACTACTGTTTGCCTACAAAATAAATGAGTATATTATAGTATATATGTATACTACTGTTTGCCTACAAAATAAATGAGTATATTATAGTATATATGTATACTAATGTTTGCCTACAAAATAAATGAGTATATTATAGTATATATATATACTAATGTTTGCCTACAAAATAAATGAGTAGATTATAGTATATATGTATACTACTGTTTGCCTACAAAATAAATGAGTATATTATAGTATATATGTATACTACTGTTTGCCTACAAAATAAATGAGTATATTATAGTATATATGTATACTAATGTTTGCCTACATTACATATTAAAAAAAATAGTATATTACAGTATATGTGTATGCTACTGTTTGCCTACATAATATATTTAAAAAATAAATTAGTACATTATAGTATATATGTATACTACTGCTTGCCTTCACAATGTTTAAAAAAACAAAATTAGTATATTATAGTATATATGTATACTACTGTTTGCCTACATAATATATTAACAAAATATATTTTAGTACATTATAGTCCACTTGTATATAGGTGTACCAGTGTTTGCCTACATAATATATTAAAAAAAATATATTATAGTTTATACAAATACTAATGTTTCTCTACAGAATGTATCATAGGTTATATGTATGCTAATGTTTGCCTACAGAATATATTATAGTTTATACGTAAACTAATCTTTGCCTACAGAATATATTATAGTTTATACGTATACTAATGTTTGCCTACAGAATATATTATAGTTTATACGTATACTAATGTTTGCCTACATAATATATTATAGTTTATACGTATACTAATGTTTGCCTACATAATATATTATAGTTTATACGTATACTAATGTTTGCCTACAGAATATATTATAGTTTATACGTATACTAATGTTTGCCAACAGAATATATTATAGTTTATATGTATACTAATGTTTGCCTACAGAATGTATCATAGTTTATCAATGTATCAAGACAATATAACCAGCTTCTCATGGGGACAATTAGTAGAAGTACTTTGGAGTGGCTGCTGCTTCGGAGGACTGCGCACGCATGGGTATGCCCAATGTGCAGTGACGTCGATTGTGATAACAAAACACAAAATAACATTTTATAGGAAGTCGGCATTCTGAAACCCAAGTTCAAGGTGTCTCCTTCGTGCCAAAGAACTGCATGGCTGTTGGGTGAACAGTCGTTAACGAAGGCAGTCAGGTCGTTGTAGGGGCGACGCCTGCTGGTGGATGTAATGTCCTAAGTCCCTTTCCCAGCTAATAGTGAGGGTACTGCTGGGGTGACCATTTGTTAACCCCTCACAAAATGCTTCAAGTCACAGTGGACACTAGGCACGACCACTTTTTTTTTTTTTTTTTTTTTTTTTTAAAGCCGTGGCAGTTCTGCCAGGCGGTGGCCGTTGCATTTTTGCTCCATTTGTAGACTGGAAGGATATAGTTTCGTCACCCAGCTTCTGAGTTGAGTGCATGGTGTGACACTGTGAGCTACGAGTGTTTTTCGTTGGCACAGGAGCGGAGCAACAATGGGGTGACCCGTTTGCTATGATGCTGAAACTAGGATTACCAGATTACCAGATTACCAGATCATAGTTTATACGTATACTAATGTTTGCCTACAGAATATATTATAGTTTATACGTATACTAATGTTTGCCTACAGAATGTATCATAGTTTATACGTATACTTATGTTTGTCTACAGAATATATTATTTTTATACGTATACTGTTTGCCTACAGAATATATTATAGTTTATACGTATACTAATGTTTGCCTACAGAATATATTTAAAAATGTATTCTCCTGTTTGCCTTAATATCATCATGTGCCATGCAGGTCAGTGTAGGCTGTCATTTTCTGCCATCTGGCACAGTCACTAGTATAAAATATCAAGTCAGTATTCTAGTCTTGCTCCACCGATTTGGCCATGCTTTCTAGGTATTTGTCTCTTCGCCTTTCTCTTGCTCTTTTTCCATCAATCTTGCCAATTGTAACCAAGTTCCCAAGTCCCTTCATTCTCATAATATGTTCACACAAAAACACACATCATAGACTTTCCACATATAATTGTTCTAATCTGTTTACGACTTTCATGTCTTAAGGAGCACTGCCTTATTTGTTTGTATATCATTCCATTATTTTTCATCTATTTCTAAGGAAAGGCGAGACAAATATACAATCAGGCAGTTACTGGTGCCATCGGATTTTGAACATTTTTCTTGCTGCTGATGATAGGGATAGAGCGTTTATGGAAGTCTCCTGAGTGCTTCGATGTCAATTCTTAATTCAACATTCTATCATTCCAATAAACTCTATGAGTGCTTCTAAAAAAAAACTCCACACCTCTGCTGTGAGCAAATATTTTCAGCATTTTCGCTTATTTCCCATTACCTACTGAATAATGTTAAAATAATTAACTATGATACATTTATATTACAAGCAGCTCCAAGAGAATGGATAGCATAATCATTTGTTGACTTAGTGATCTGGGTTCAATCTTTAGTCCTAATTTTGAGGTTCCGGGTTTGATCCCAACTGCAAACAATATGGCAGCAGACCGCCTTGTGTTGGTTTCAAAAGTGGTATTGAGAGCCTACTGTTCAATTAGCAATGACAAACTACTGAATGCAAAATTGCTTCGTTATATTACAAGCACCAAAAAAAAGCTGGGGTTAGTTCTGCAATTTCCTGTACAGTATAAACAAATAACTTTTCAAGTAAAGGCTCCATTTCATCCTTTTTATAAACCAAATGATGTTTCAGCCAGAGCCTTTCTTGACACAAACCACAAACGTCTTGTGTGTGTGCCTTGTTTTCCTCCCCTCTTTCCATTAGGCTTCCGAATCACAGTTCAATAAATTAACTTCATGGTGTTAGATTGACTGCCGTAACACGTTTTCATAATTTTAAACAAATCAATGCTATTAAGATATACTAGTCTATTTGTTAAAGAGTACCGTTAAATCTGTCAAGTTAATCTGCTTCTGCAAAATGATTTCAGTGGCCTTTAGTAAAAACAAATTTTCTAATCCACTTGTTGCAACGGTCAGTGTTAGAGTAACTTTGCCATCTGGACCTGTGTCATTGTCACGAGTTGCAATCAGAGCAATGAGACTGTTCTCTGGACTTCCATCAAGTATAGTAATCTGTTGACAGAAACACATGCCATGAAAGTGTTTTCTATGTTGAGACAACACTGTGAGCATGTTTTATATTTGTGAAAATATCTTATATCAAAAAGTGTCATGGAGGGGGAAAAGTCTGTGATACATTGCTTGCTTGGCAGCAATGGCTTTAGCCATTGATAAGATCCAAGTCTGTCACTGGTAGCACAATGTTAACATGAATGTGTTTTTTATATATTGACTTGAAATGTTTGAACTTCTCATAATCTATGTCAGAACTAAATTTAGGGTGACAAATTCTCCTTCTGCTGGCCTGAGAATCAGCTGCACACATTTGTCTGATTGTAACCGATTCACAAAGAATGTAAAGTGAACACGGTATGTTCTGTGCAGAGTGGCAAGCATCACTCAACAAGTCCCAGGTAGTTAGTGTCCTTTGGATATCATATTCTAGTTTTTTTTTTTTTAAATGTTTTCAATCACCCATACATTATATTAACTCCTTCTAATCCAGGCACTGTTTTAATATTTCAAACCATCCATACATCACTTAAACACTTAATCCAGACATTGTTTAATGTTTTAGACCATTCATCAGTCATTCAAACAGCATGCACTTTACAGAATGTCACTCTCTTCATGGCTCACTCGAAAGTCTCCCTTTCTTTAGCCATTTCTTCTGCCCTATATGCTTTCACAGCCAGTGCATCTTCACCTTCGCGAACGCCAGCCTCAGTCTCATTTTCTGGAAACTGCACCCACCCTATTTCGCCATTCTCTCCAGACCATCATAGCACTTGAGATGTCCAGAATACCTCAGCTTTTGGCAGAGGATGCTTCTTTTAGAGTTTTTAGAGATACTTAATATGGTAGTCTCCAAACCATTCATACATATGTTAAACTCTTGATCCAAACACTGTTTTAATCTTTTTAACCATTCACACATCAATTCATTTTAACTCTCTCAATCTCTCTCTCACTCACTCACTCACTCGCTCGCTCGCGCACGCACACACACACACACATTTCTTAATCACATTGATCTCAGACAGTTGTTCTTAAAAATAATAAGTAGGACAGAACGAGCTGTTACAAAGGGAACAGTGGATTCAATGTTTCTATAACAAACGATCTAAAAATAACATTTATAATGCAAACCTCAATTTCTGATACACCACAACGGCCTTGATAACAGATGTCCGGGTGATGGTCATATTAGTTCCTAAAACTGTAAATGCTAGAGTCCCAGGCTGAGAGCAGTTTGGCTGACTATAATCTTTGGCATAAACAGAGATCATGAAGTTAGTTTTGTCTGCCTTGTCAGCTTTCAGCAGGGTAAGAAGGGTCACTTCACCTGATGGGCTGATTTCTAGCCACTGTGCTCCAACTTGAGAAAAAAAAAAAAAATTACAAACTACTCATTATTGGACAAGTGTTATTTGTATCAGCTGGTATAACAACAATTCATTTGTTCATAACATTTTTTTTCTCTTTCACTTCAAGATGTTGTGTGACCCTGAACTGTACTGAGCCATTTCTAGAATTTAGAAGGTTGGGGCAGCATCTATAATGTGACTTTGTTGTACTTCTTCTTTACTGAAGTTTAAGCATCCTGCCATCTTCAACTAAGCTTGTTATCTTTTACTATTTCTTGTAGCTTCTCCATGTATTCATCTGTCACTGGTGCTCTTCTCCGTATGCTTTCAGCTGTCCTTCTCATATCTGGCTTTTTGTCCCGGTGAAAGCACATTCTAATGAGGATGAGGTTTTCTCAGTGTATACCCCATTCTTTGCTGGCATCTTTTCCTTACTATTTGCTTGCTTGAACTTACATATTTCTCTCCCTAAGAGCTCCATATTTGCTACTCTGTCATATGAGAACAGCAGACTACAAGTCAAGAGGCTGACCAAGAAAGACATGGGTGGGGTGTGGGGGGGGGACACTACAGAAATGCAACAGGTCATTAATACAAGCTAGGCAGCTAGCTAAAGACAAATCACATTTAACTACATCTAACTACATCTCTTCTCTGCTATACTTTATGGTGTAAGCAGTAGAACAAAAGAAGAAGAAGACAAATTATTTAAAACTTCTATTCTGCACAGGCGCCAGTAGATAAATGTTGGTATTTTATTTGCAGTTGTGTTAGTGGTGCTCTGTATTTTTGTTTATAGATAGCAGATTTGATATAAGAGCTACATATTCTAAATGTTTTTTTTTACTTTATTTACTTTGACCCAAGCAGTTTTTATAATTTCCTAATGCTATGAAAGCTCAGTTTGCCTTTTGTATTTTTAACTTTATATCTTGATCTGTTCACCCAAATTTACTACACCAGTGCCTAAATGGGTATATGATGCCACTTCTTGAAACAGGGTGGATATTTAAAGTGATCCTGTAGGTAACTGTAGGTCTTGTGACCTCTGCGTCTTCTACTTCTTCTTCTTCTTCTTCTTTTTCACGTTTACCGGCTGTTATTTCCAGGAGAAAGTTCTGGCTGTTTGTCCAGTTCCGGACTGCAGTCCTTTTCCAGAAACTGAGTGATGTGTGTATATCCATCTGACAGATCTGACTAATTTGTTTGCAGACTGTTGGTTCCTTGCCTCTCAGACAGATGCACTCCTACTTTTAAGGAAGCTCCTAATTAGTCGACTCTTACAACATGCTTTTGGGTAGGCATCATTCCTATAAATAAACTGAGGGGGAACCTTTGAGGCCGTTAAATATTATGAATTAATCAAGTAACAGAAAGTGTATTGATCTTCACTCATAGAAAGAAGTAGAAAGGTAGAAGAACACACTAGACAACATAAAAATCGAAAGCTATAGTTACCGTGCCGGGAATTGAACCTGTCACCTCCAGACGGCATCTGCGCCTCGCCATGGATACAAGTGCACTAAGAACATGGTCAACTAGGCACCCCCTTTGGGTAGGCAGTGGATCTATAGTTGTTTTCCCTATAATAGAGCCCCGGAACCCACACAGGGTTCCCACATTAAATTATTTTTATTTCTACTACTAAAGATAAAGCCAGGTCTTTCTGTCTTGGCAGGCAATAAATATACCTGAATAAGTCCTAAATATTCACACTACTGGTGTGTAAAATAAAAGCTGAATTAGTTTAGTTATATCAAGTGCCATGGCAGACTGAAAAAATAATAGCAGAAGGCATGGTACCAGGAAGGAAGGGCAGAGGATGACCAACACGAAGAGGGCACAGGATATATGTGACTTCTTGAATGTGAAAATACATGAGGCAGGAGAACTGGTGAGAGAGAGTCACGTTCCGCAAAGGACTTGCTACATGATGATGATGATGATGAACATGTAAAACCCCCTAACCTGTATCATTCAAGAAGTAAGTGACGTTAGAGAGATCATCATGAAGTGTAGAGATCTGTCCCAAAGAACCTGTCTCTCCTTCCTTCACATACAGATTCAGGGATGTTGTGTTCCACACAGGGCATATGCCCGTTACAGATATATGAACGGCAGCAGTTCCACACTGAACCAAGACACCAGCATCACATGCAGACACTGTGAGGTGGAAGACTGTCATATTCCCACTGCTTAAGTCACCAGTTACAATTATTTCCCCTGAAAATGAACAAATCACAAAGAAAATGAAAAAAATGTATAAATGTTAGTAGTAGTAATTTTCACAAAAATATCCTGTTCAACGCTCAGTGTTATAACTGGGATATAACGTATTCATCAAGTTCTCAAAATATATATTTATTTTTAGATCGTTTAATTATTTTTTTTGACAATTATGTAATCTGTATTATTGTTTCAAATATTGCTTAGTTTACACCTTTCTAGGGAGTCGCTGTGGCGGAGCGGCTAGAGGCTCGCCACGGATCGGAAGGTCGTGGGTTCGCTCCCTGTCAGAGCCGGACTTTTCTCAAAAATGACCTTGGCTCCCAGGTCGACCCAGCCTTGAGTGGGTACTGGGTGCAGTCCCGGGAAGTAGAGGCGGCCAGCATGATACTGACCACATCACCTGTCATGTGTCGATTGGTCTATAAAATATAGGTCTAGCCCTATATGCCCTAAAGGCGTGGAAAAGGGTCCTTCACTTTAAAAAAAAACTTTTTACACTTTTCTAGGTTGTGATTAAGATAGAAATCATACTATGAATATTTAGATAATCTTACTAACATTATATCATTAAAATAGTGTATTCATTATGCCTGTAGAATAATTGTTGATTATCCTCATGGATTTTACGGTTTAAAGATGCAATAATAGACTTCACTGCACTAAGTTGGATCTCATATCCCTCAGTCTCTCCTCACTGAGTGGCTGTTCATCTTTTGAGAGTGTCCCATAAAGCACAAAACTTCAAAACTCTGCAGGAAAGTCTGAAACACCTACAATCAAAAACCATATGACTGAGACTGCTACTGAATCCATGACTGTAGCAATGCAAGACAATGGCTAAACCATTTCACAACAGGGAAAATTCAAACAAATTTAATCTAGAGTCACTGATTTAACTCTTTATCTTATGACCTCACCCCTCCCCCTCCCCCGCAATAGTCTAGTTTGATGAAATCCATTACAATATATTGGTACACATATTCAGATAGCAATCTAAAAAAAAAAAAAACGTGGGGAGCAGATAGAGATATTATAAATATAAAAAGCAAGAGGAACTTTCCTGTCTCTAAAACCCACTTTTGGCACTTTGTACTTTCACTTGACAATGATAACATTTGATAGTTTACTATTGCTTTCTGGATGGCTGGCTTTCATAATCACTGTTAATATTGTTATTAAGGATGTGGAGAGTGTTAGGTACATGACATCACAGTAGAGATTATTAACACAGTGATGTCATATTAACAGTTTCAAGATTTAACATGCACCAAAGAGGAGCAGCCTTCTGTTATCAAATTTTGTGAATCAGTGACGAGTGAAACCTGCAGCAATGAAGGTCCAGTATGGGGATGCACACCTGGCAGACCAGCAAGTGTGTGAGTGGAGTAGGAAGTTTCAAAAATGGTGTGACTTCTGTGACAGATTTCCTGACCAGGTTGTCAACAGTAGCTGTATAGCAGAGAAGTAGAGACAGGTGAATTAGATGGTGAAAACAAGGCTAAAAGGGGAAACCAGAAACTGATGCTATTGACTTGACATAACTAAAATGTGGCTAAGCCGGTCAAACTTATATTAGTAGATCTAACACAGAAAAAAAAGGGGTGCATGTATTTATTGTAGACATACCATCATATAATTTGTATTTACTCTGACATAGTTACATTTACATTCAGGAAGCCCTGACGGGGCAATGATCATATTTCTGTCTGCCAGTCCAAAAGTCCTAGGTTTGAATCCACATCAAGATTTAATTTAAAAAAAAAATAGAACCCTAAAAGAGTCCCGGGAGGTAAAGGTGGTTGGCAAGATGGTGATCACATCTCTCATCGACTGCCAGTCAGTCTACACAATTATGAGATTAGCATCATATGGTACCTATTAGACCACTTTTATTTACTTTAATTTCACACTCTCAATCTTGATTGCCAAAAAGAAGTTATAAATTAAGAAACAACATAGCACTCAGGACAATCCCATAAGTGCTCCATCCCTATCTTCAGCAGCAAGTGCATTAAATTCCAATAGTACCAATAACAGTCTGATTATATGTCCATCTCATCCCTGCCCTGGCTTTGGCCAGATCAAAGGGTTCCTCCTTGCTATGCCAGTCTCTTCACACCGTGATGATCCATTTGCACCTGTTTACTCGGTCCCAAAGGATCCTTACAAAGTCTAGCTCATCCTGCAGGCATTTACCATCAAGTTGTGCAGAACCAGTCAATCTATCTGCCTGTTCTATCTCCTAACACACCATCATCCATGAAGAAAATGTGCAAAGGACACTAACTACCCGGGACCTCTGAGGCGATACTCTGCATAGAACATACCTGTCTCCACCTTTAAACAGAACCGCTGTGGCCATCAGTGAGAATAGAACCTGAGGTTTCCAGTTAATAAACAGAAACAGCAATGAATATAACTGTCAGCTTACCTTGTCTAGGATCAATGTAGAACAAGTCTGATCCATTAAGCTGGTATAAAATAAAATCTCCTGAAGTGTCAACATCATTTGCCTTGACAATGCCAAGATGGTGGCGCAGTTGTGCATTTTTAGAAATGTTGAAATTATACACCGATTCCAAAAATGTTGGTGGCTCATCGTCAACATCTAAGATTTCAATGAAGATTCCTGCTGAGGAGTTGAGTCCCTTACCACAGTTGTCAATAGCAATGACCTACCATAATGGAATATGACACAGTTATAACTCTGGATCAAATCCTGTAAATTTGTATTATTTATAACAACTGCAAATTAAATAAACCATTACAACACAGAAACGAGACTGTATGTTCTAAAACTTATTGTGCAATTTTAAGTGTTCATAAACTGAGATATACAAGCTAAAAGTTTTACAATACTCATGATTTGAAAGTAGGATAATGATACACATTGTTTGAAAGTAATATACAATATGAACTGGCTTCTATTAATCTGGAGTAGTTTTCATTTATTTTTTAATGTCATGATTTAAAAGAGCTTTCTGATTGTAAAATAACAGGGATGAAATAACAATTTTTGGCAACACTTTTGAAATAAATTATGACAAACAGACAAAAACAGGCAATCAACAATTTTTGGATCATTATGAAAAGAAGCAAAAAGAAAAAAAAAAGTCTGCAATAACTGGACAGATTAATGAAAAATAATGTTTTTTCTTAGTTCTCTGCATTTACTCTGAAAAGGTAGTTGGCACAGTTGTGGTTTACAGCTCTGCTATGATATCTGTGCCTGTTGACTCAACACATGTTAATTTTGCAGACCCCAAATTGGTCACCTTTTATGATATGCTTTGGGAAGAGGGAAGGGGGTGGGCCAGCAAGTATGCTCTACCCCCTCACCTCCCATTATACTCCAGAACTCAGGCAAAGTGGACACATTCTGATCACAAGACTCGGAGAAGCATGATCATTTAGGAATTATGACATGACACTTAATTATCATGAAAACAGGGCTGACTGCAGTCAAGCGAAAACCAAGAAATTGATCCACTGAACTAGGACTAAGAAGCTTAATGAAAGGGGTTACGGGAACAATGTACACTGGAGTTCATAGCCCGTGAATGCTCAGAAGAAGAAGATAACTGGTCAATAAAGGTTTAGGTTAGTTGTGTATCCTTTACAGGACATTGCAGAACCAACCCCAACAGCTCCTGGCTGTTGTGTGGTTTTTCTAGGCAAATTTAGGTCCAGTAGTTTGCCATTGCTTTTTGGATGGTCGGCTTTCTTGATACCACTGTCGAAACCAACTCAAGGCGCATGGCCTGTAGCTGGGGTCAAACCCGGCATCCCGGCATTACGAAGCTTTCGCATCGACTTTGCCACAGAGCCCATGGTCAGTAAAGAGAGACCTAAAATACACAAATAAATGAACTGGAATCATTGTTTCACTTTTCCATTTTTCCAAACGATTGTGTTATGTTGTATTATGAAGAGGCATGGGACTCACAGCCCATGGCAATGGCGAGTGTGACTAGCAAGATCGGCCTATATTAAGGAAAGTCTTCCACAATTATAGCATGGGACTTCAGGACTGTTGTTGTCAACATTTGTATTTAGTCTGTTTCTTCTCAGACGCTCAGCTCTCATCCTTTCTGCAATCATTTCTTCCTTCATTCTCATTCCCTTCATGATGTGTCTCCTCCACCCAACACAACTCATAGAATTTTGTTTCCATAAGTCCAACTTAATGCCTGAATCATTCATGTCCCGCTTGCACACATCTTTATAATATACCAGAGATCGGCCTCAACATCTTCTACCCATCTTTGATTCACCATACAGGATGTACTGGAAGCACAGATGAATAATAAAGGGCATGGGAGAACTGTTGTAAAAAAAAAAAGATGGCTAATTCTGATCTGCATGAGGTCCTGTGCTTTGATCCAGTTTCCACAAAAAGACTAAATCTAGTCACTAACAGTTGTGACACAGTTCCGTAAATGCCAATATATGGCCATGTCTTCAAAGAACCGTTCTCGAAAATAGTAATTAAATTACATTGGTTCTATCTGTGCCTGCACAAAGTACCATAGTCTGTGATATGAGACTAATAACTGAAAATAGCATTTAGGGCATTTCCCCATGACCCCATTTTCTTTCTGAAAGCCAAGTTTATGTCAAAACTTCCTAAAAGCCACAGTGATATAGGTCACAGTGGTCACAGCAGCAGTCACCTGATAATAATGTTTTTAGGCCACGAGGAATGCATTTCATTTAATGCTTCACTCTGTCCATGTTGATTGATTACACCTTCGGATATCATCGCACAGTTTGCAAGAAAAAAAAAAAATAGGGTAAAAAGTAAATAAATAACTTTAAAAAAAATTTATTAGTTACCCGTGTCATTTAAAAAAAATTTTAAAACATTTTTCTGAAAATCTATACGGGGGAAATTTTGTTTAGCATTCACAAGGTGAAAGGGTAAAAAAAAAAGGAGAACAGAAAGTGGAATACAAAATGGTCACTCACTTGTAAAGTGTAATTCTCATGGGTTTCTCTATCCAGCTTCCCTGTAACAAATAAAATGCCAGAGCTTTCGTTGACAGCGAATGGGGTGGAGTTATCTGAGAGACTAAACTGGTAGCTCGGACAGTTATCAATGTCAGCATCTGTCAGATCCAGTTGTGGAGTCTGGAGAAACAAAATTAAGTCAGTTACCAGTCTGTTTACTGTTGAATAACTGATGCAGTTAAATGTCGACATCTGGTTTAGTTGGTGCTCCTTCTGAAAGATAAGCTTTGTAACTCTTAAGTCCAATCAGCCTAAAGTAGGTGCAAAGAAATGTTCTGGGAAGCAAAGGTGGCCCACATGATGTTGAATCCCATCACTCTCTGAGTGGCGATTAGTTTAGATTCACATACCCGAGGCACTGGCATAGAAAAACTCCTGCCTGTACTTGTTTTGTTAAAAACTTACTGAAGTCCAAGGTGTTCAACTGGGCTCTGAAAAGAGCTTACATTTATCAAGATGAGGCTGGTTTATAGACTTTCTGTCTGACCTGGTCTCTAAGTAAAACAAACGAAAACATCTCAAACATGAATCACAATTCATAAATCTACAAACATGTGATGGTGAAGTAGTGGCTCCTTGTACAGTGCTTCCTTTGTTTTAGTACATTCTGAGTCATCAACAGAACTGTCAACAAAGCAAAATGAGCAAGTACATGGAGGATCACTCTGCAAAAAACATAAGCAAGATAGTTAAAACTGTCTTAGACTAGACAATGATGAGTAACAAACTGAGACATAAAACAAAAAATGATTACAATAAAAGGGGTTGGACTTGACACTGATCTTATTTTTCTTCTTCTTCACCATCCCGAGACCTTGAGGTTCACTGCTGCAGATATGACCTGCTTCCATTCATCTCTCTGACTGGATTTCTCTTTCCAATTAATATTTTATGATCCTCGAGTACTGTGGTTCACTCCCTGCGGTGGACGGGGGAAATCTATTCTCATGGTTTTCAGACAATGGTATGAGAGTCGCACCATGGAAGAGATTGGAGCCTCACCATGTAATATTCCTAAAGAAGCAGTGGTACACTGTCGCCAACCTTTATTGCAGAGATAGCACAGAACTTTAGTAATATTAAGTATTAATAGGTCAATCTGGATATTATCTCTCCATTATCTTCTTGGTCTGCCTCGTGGTCTACGACCATTCAGCTTCCTTGTGTATACAGTTTTTACACTCTGCTGCCATCTGACATTTTCTCAATATGCCCCAGCCATTTCAGTTTATTAGCCCTCACGATGCCAATGATCAATGATGATTTAAACTGACACTGATCAGGAAAAAACCCAGAAACATAATATCTTACTAAAGTGACTGGAATGTTGATGGCATCCTCTGGGACTTTGGCAGTGTAGCGCTTCTGAGAGAACTGTGGTGGGTTGTCATCGATGTCTGTGATGGTTACAAACACAGTACCAGTTCCCTGGAAGAATTTATCAAATATATCATTGAAATGAATAAACTTATTGAATACCACCAACCACTGTATGTGTTACCATGACTGAGTAGTACTGCAGGTTACATCAAATTGTCGTAACTTTTATGAGTTACCCTATTATAACTTCTTTGGAGGTTGTACAGGGTATCTGGGATTTGTCCTGTTGGTACAAATTACCATGACTTAGATAAAAAAAAAAAAAATTAGGATTTAAGAAAGGACCAGCAGAAAGCTGCAAGTAAGTAAAAATGTCTGAAGACGTAACTTTCACCTAATGGATGGAGGTAAAAAAACAACAACTGTGGCTGGATAGTTACATGATAAACCCCATCATTCGTGACATGGTCTCTGTTTAGTGCAGACAAATATGGAGTTAGCAGCATGTGCCCAAAATACTTCCCGGCATAGGCATAGACAGGAGACATTTACTTTTTTTTTTCATTAATACTATATAAAGATTCAAATGAAATGTGTGCTTTCTTTGTAACTATAATGCACTTTATTTATTAAGACAACAAAGTAAATTATTATCAAGACCCACTCTGTTTGAAGGGAGAAAACTCAAACATTAATTACATTTAAAAAAATGACTAGTTAGAGTTGTTGCCCTGGTTATGCTAATGCCAATAAGGGGAGCAAGCAATTGTAATTTACCATCTAGTCTTTAGTCTTGTTCCAGAACCTGAATTTTGCATGCACATCCATTTTACAGACCTGGTTTTTTTGTATGCAGACTGCTGGTTTCTCGCCCCTTAGGCAAATGCACTACGACTTCGAATAAAGGATCCCTAATTAGTAGACTTTTAGGACATGCTTGTTGAAGGTCAGCGAGTCTATTCTTTTTCGCCCATAATGGGGCTCCGGAACCCACAGGCGGATGTTGACTGTCTTGACCAGCTCCCTCCACTTTTGATGGTCAGATGCAATGAACTTCATGGTAGCATGATTGAAACCCGACCGGTCATTTAAGTTCTGTATCTAGATCTTTCTTGGACTGTCTCTTCTCCTCTGTTTCTCTACTGAGCACTGTAGTATAATTTTTGAGAGGCCAGTTGATCTTATTACATTTCTGTATCACTGCATTTTCCATCTCTTCCCTGTAGTTGAAAAAAAGATTTATGGTTGCCAGTGTGGTGGGTAATTCTATAATGAACCTTATGGTCTCTGTTTAGTGCGTACAAATATGTGGTTAGCAGCATGTGCCCACTATGCCTCCTCACATAGACGGGGAAGCATTTACTTTTTTTAAACATTAATACTACATATATATTCAAATGAAATGCAAGCTTTTCTTTGCATCTATCATGTACTTAATTAAGAAAACAAAGTAAAGATAGACTTTAAGGCTACGGTGAGAGCCAGATAAGCCATGGACCAGGCTGATATATTGAATTCTTTAAGAGAGTTAGGACGTTTGCGTGAACCAACTGAGTACTATGAATCTGCAACCATGGTCAGACTGCAAGAACATCATGTTAAACAGGGTGTCGCCAAACAAGAACACAATGCAGGCAGTCAAGGAATAATAATAAACCAACACAGGACTGGTGTCGTCAGCCGCTACACGCTGCAGGATTTACTGAGGATGGGATCTGAGTACTTATGAACTGTGTGTTTCCATGTGCAATGAGGATAATCTGTCAACTAACTAAGGAACAACCAGCAAAAACCAGCAAACTACAAATAAGTCCTCTCTGCTAGGCTTTGTGGTGTAATCAGTTGGACAATAAAAGAAGAGATACACTGGGCATAAGGCAGTAAACCCAAATATTTATAGATCAATCAGCACTCAATGGCTTATGTGTTCAAAATCATGCCAGCCACCTTTACTTCCCAGGATATTCTCTAGGAACCAGTTTGAGACTTGAGGGCTAAGGTCATTTAATACAAATCCACCACCATGTTGGTTCAAATCCAGGACCTACTGGCCAGTAGGTGTAGCTTTCCAACCACTGATTTACAGAGCCTCTAGATCAATTGTGCTCATTTTAAATGAGAAGTGATTTGACTCTGAAATATAAAATAAATGTTGCTACTTACTGACAAAGATGGATTTCCATTGTCCACAGCAAGTATAGTTAAAATGATGTCCACTCCATGGTTGTGCAATACCGACTCCTTGTCCAATGCTTTGATTGTTTTTAGTATATTCTGAGCCAGAAATAAAACTGTCATGTCAACAAAGTAAAGGAAGCAGGTACAAGATGGATCACGTTGCCATAATGAAAAGTAACATTTACACTACATGCTCTACATATACCTTAAACATGGCCTCTGTATGTCATCTGCACATAATCTGAAAATGTTCTTTACATGCATACTAACAATTACTGCAGAATTAGAGAAATATCATCATAACCTTATAGCTTGACAAAGTCAAAATTCCCAAATCTCACAATATAGGATGGGAAATGTGTGGTAAATTAACTCTTTGAGTCCGAGGGGGTTTAGCATCACAGGCCCAATGGGTAGTAAAGAGAGACTAAAATCGACACATCATGCGTTCATTGGGCTTTCCAGGTAGGAACCTATGAACGTATGCTGCATTCCCTGGGACTCAAAGAGTTAAGCATTCCATGACTGGGTATTTCCTAGATTAACTTGATGCCACAAGGGTGCCCTAGAAGACTCACGTAGCTAAAAGCTATACAATGCCACACAGATTTGAAAGCACAGGAAAACTACACAATTTGGTATATCCAGAAACTCATCCAGATAGTCAATAAACAAACACAAAGATATTTTGGAGCTTTCATACAATGTATCTTCCCAAACTGAGAAAAAAAAAATGATCTCAGAGCAAGGTATTAAAAAAAAGGATATGAAACTACCTAAGGCAGAGTACAGCACGTGATTACAAGTATTTTTAGTGATCTTTGATGAAAACAACATTTAACATAGGACCTGCTATATTGTTTCTATAAAGAATGATTTTTTATCATAATCATGATTACTGCCTTCCTTACATTTCCCATAAAATATTGCTAAAGATTTAGTGTTTATTTATATTCTCAAATGTTCAACATATGTCTATAGCATTTTTTTTCACATTGATCACGTATTTGACTACGATCAGTATTTCTTCATTAATCTCTTTTACTGTGATTTTTCTGCTTCTGAACTTTTCTCTCTTAATTAATTTCTTTGTTATATCATTATCTTCCTTCTCAGCATCTGCCTGAAAAGGGGAAAAGAAACAGCAAGATCTGTAAAATGAGGTGCAGATAAAACTCAAGCTCTAGAACAAGACCAATGTCCAGAAGTGGACAAACAACCAGAACTTTCCACATACAGCAGATGAACACTAAGAAGTAGAAGATCTCATTAATTTATAATTTAAATTCATATTTTGTTTTGGGTACTTAGACTGTAATTAGTATTCGGGTGGCAGTAAGGCAGTGGCTTGTATGCTGCCCTGGAGACCATGTGTTGGAATCCTCATTGAGGATAGAATAAAAAAAAAAAACAGCTGTTGGACTAAAAGGGTACAAGGCAAAATGTTGTAGTAAACAAAAGATAGCTGGAGTGATACCCCTTTTTTTAACTCACTGAGTGCTTTCTGGTCTATAAACGTATAATAATATATCTAAATGAGAGTGAACCAGTCGTTTAATTTACTTACAGAATCAAACACAAAACTGTCATTGACATTTCCAGAGACTACAGTGTAGTTGACATCAGCATTTTGCCCAGCGTCAGCATCGAATGCTGTCACAGAAATGTTATTTCCAATACCTGAATCTCCTGTATTAAAGACAGAAAAGTTTACAAGCATTATCACTGACATTGATCAACAGCTTTGCAACCCAGCAAACTCAATATGTTTTATTGTTTTGGTCTATTGCACATGTGATTCATCATCATCATCATCATCAAAGTGTGTGTGTGTGTGTGTGTGTGTGAGAGAGAGAGAGAGAGAGAGAGTGAGAGAGAGAGAGAGAGAGAGAGAGAGAGAGAGAGAGAGAGAGAGAGAGAGAGAGAGAGAGAGAGAGAGAGAGGAGTAGAGAACTGACTGGTCTATAAAATATTTAACAGATATCATATGACCATTACATTTCCCAGCGTGGAAATAAGTCCTAAATCTTGTTTGTTTTACTACGATCTGAGGCACATTTTAGCCCTGTGAAATCTGACAAATACCAGCAGTGTTAAAATCACAACAATGGCAGTACATAAATGCCTTCATAAAACAATAAAAATAACTTAAAATAGAAAAAAATCACAACACTAATATCAAAGCAGTGTTTCCCCCATTCCTGTTACAAACTTGAACAAAGAAAACACAAATAATAGATTGAACATTGTGTTTTTCAGTTCGAAAGATTGATTTAAATGCTTTATTTTAATTTTTACAGCAGTAGGCACCTGAAAAGATATGCAAAATATGCCTAGTAATAAAGTGTGCAATCTATTGTTTGTGTCTTCTTTGTTCAGAGACAGACATGCCAGGAAAGTGCCAAAGAAAGCAGATTTAAAAATTAACCACTGATATCAATACAAACATACTCACCCTCAATTACTGTCATATTGAAAATCTGTTTGAAAATTGGACAGTTGTCATTGACATCTAAAACATTGACTGTGACTGTTTTAGAGATCTGAAACAAATAAAATAAATACGTCTGTCAAAGTTACACAAATATGTTTGAATACAATTTAAGTAAGTTAATAAACAAACACAATTTCAAACAAGTAACAAATGGAGTTTACATTTTTAAGCCTTGATAATTACTGCGAAATTAGTCCTAGCTCAATATATTTAAAAAAAAAAAAAGAAGTAATCCAGCCTTGATTGGGTACCAGGTATAATCCTGGGAAGTAAAAGTGGCCAGCATGATGCTGACCACATCACCCACTGAGTGCCGACTGGTCTATAAAATATAGGTTGAGCCCTATATGCCCAAAATGCCTGAAGGTGGGGAAAAGGGTCCTTTACTTTAATCTGCACTGACGGATGATAGGTCCAGTATCATGCTAGCACACTTTACTTTTAAGGAAATTTATTGATTTCTTTTTTTCAGTTAGTGTTGATCTAGTAAGTTAAGTCAATTAAAAAAACAAATAATCTACCCTTGTGAGGATTCAAACTTATGGTCATTGGGTTGGTAGGCAAGTAGGTTAAGTACATTACAGCAGCTCACAAAAAATATTGTAACTGAAAAATATTGGTGAATGGCTACCTTTACTTTCCAGGACTTTCCCTGGTACTCATTTTTGGTTTGGTCGATCCCGGGAGCCAAGATCAATTTTGAAAAAAAAAAGGCTTGATGGGGATTCAAATTAAAGACCTTTGGGTTGGCACTATCTATCCATTATATAACTGTGGCTCCTTCAGTGAGGTTTGCAATTCACAAATAACAGAAGTTGAAAGGCAGTGGGATAAGCCACCTATCTCATTTCTTCTTGTAAAGTTCTCTCTAAATAGTTGAGTACTTGTCTCCTGCTTCTGTAGATAGAGTTTTGGCTAATCTTAAAATATATTTTTCAACTCTTTCTGTACCAAGCAACTCATTCTGCATTTACTGGAATTAACTAGCATACTGAGCACCTTGTACTCTATCCAGATGTGGCCTTTAATTATTATATCCCAGCTAATACTTCAGCTCCTTTGATCTCACTGTGTTATTATTTGAATATTTTTAGCCCCATACACTTATTCTTTTAAGTAGTTACTGCTTAGGAAGTAAGGAGTTAAAGACACACTGATCTGGGACTGAAACAAGCTAAAATCTTTCCTGGAAGTCCCAAGTTTACTCTCTGTATGTCAGCAGTGACTGTCCATCCAATAGTTATAAGATATAAAAGATGGCGATACACTGGATACACTCTGAGGTGAGGCAAACAGATAACCGCCAAATAAGTATTTGAAAAGGAAACCAAATAAACTGAGGAGGTGAGGATATCCATCAGAAACCAAATAAACTGAGGAGGTGAGGAAATCCATCAGAAACCAAATAAACTGAGGAGGTGAGGATATCCATCAAAAACCAAATAAACTGGTGAGGTGAGGATATCCATCAGAAACCAAATAAACTGAAGAGGTGAGGATATCCATCAGAAACCAAATAAACTGAGGAGGTGAGGATATCCATCAGAAACCAAATAAACTGAGGAGGTGAGGATGTCCATCAGAAACCAAATAAACTGAGGAGGTGAGGATATCCATCAGAAACCAAATAAACTGAGGAGGTGAGGATATCCATCAGAAACCAAATAAACTGAGGAGGTGAGGATATCCATCAGAAACCAAATAAACTGAGGAGGTGAGGATATCCATCAGAAACCAAATAAACTGAGGAGGTGAGAATATCCATCAGAAACCAAATAAACTGAGGAGGTGAGGATATCCATCAGAAACCAAATGAACTGAGGAGGTGAGGATATCCATCAGAAACCAAATAAACTGAGGAGGTGAGGATATCCATCAGAAACCAAATAAACTGAGGAGGTGAGAATATCCATCAGAAACCAAATAAACTGAGGAGGTGAGGATATCCATCATAAACCAAATAAAATGAGGAGGTGAGGATATCCATCAGAAACCAAAAAAACTGAGGAGGTGAGGATATCCATCAGAAACCAAATAAATTGAGGAGGTGAGGATATCCATCAGAAACCAAATGAACTGAGGAGGTGAGGATATCCATCATAAATCGAATAAACTGAGGAGGTGAGGATATCCATCAGAAACCAAATAAACTGAGGAGGTGAGGATATCCATCAGAAACCAAATAAACTGAGGAGGTGAGGATATCCATCAGAAACCAAATAAACTGAGGAGGTGAGGATATCCACCAGAAACCAAATAAAATGAGGAGATGAGGATATCCATCAGAAACCAAAAAAACTGAGGAGGTGAGGATATCCATCAGAAACCAAATAAACTGAGGAGGTGAGGATATCCATCAGAAACAAAATAAACCGAGGAGGTGAGGATATCCATCAGAAACCAAATAAACTGAGGAGGTGAGGATATCCATCAGAAACCAAATAAACTGAGGAGGTGAGGATATCCATCAGAAACCAAATAAACTGGTGAGGTGAGGATATCGATCAGAAACCAAATAAACTGAAGAGGTGAGGATATCCATCAGAAACCAAATAAACTGAGCAGGTGAGGATATCCATCGGAAACCAAATAAACTGAGGAGGTGATAATATCCATCAGAAACCAAATAAACTGAGGAGGTGAGGATATCCATCAGAAACCAAATAAACTGAGGAGGTGAGGATATCCATCAGAAACCAAATAAACTGAGGAGGTGAGGATATCCACCAGAAACCAAATAAAATGAGGAGATGAGGATATCCATCAGAAACCAAAAAAACTGAGGAGGTGAGGATATCCATCAGAAACCAAATAAACTGAGGAGGTGAGGATATCCATCAGAAACAAAATAAACTGAGGAGGTGAGGATATCCATCAGAAACCAAATAAACTGAGGAGGTGAGGATATCCATCAGAAACCAAATAAACTGAGGAGGTGAGGATATCCATCAGAAACCAAATAAACTGAGGAGGTGAGGATATCCATTAGAAACCAAATAAACTGACGAGGTGAGAATATCCATCAGAAACCAAATAAACTGAGGAGGTGAGGATATCCATCATAAACCAAATAAACTGAGGAGGTGAGGATATCCATCAGAAACCAAATAAACTGAGGAGGTGAATATATCCATCAGAAACCAAATAAACTGAGGAGGTGAGGATATCCATCATAAACCAAATAAACTGAGGAGGTGAGGATATCCATCAGAAACCAAATAAACTGAGGAGGTGAGAATATCCATCAGAAACCAAATAAACTGAGGAGGTGAGGATATCCATCATAAATCGAATAAACTGAGGAGGTGAGGATATCCATCAGAAACCAAATAAAATGAGGAGGTGAGGATATCCATCAGAAACCAAAAAAACTGAGGAGGTGAGGATATCCATCAGAAACAAAATAAACTGAGGAGGTGAGGATATCCATCAGAAACAAAATAAACTGAGGAGGTGAGGATATCCATCAGAAACCAAAAAAACTGAGGAGGTGAGGATATCCATCAGAAACCAAATAAACTGAGGAGGTGAGGATATCCATCAGAAACCAAATAAACTGAGGAGGTGAGGATATCCATCATAAACCAAATAAACTGAGGAGGTGAGGATATCCATCAGAAACCAAATAAAATGAGGAGGTGAGGATATCCATCAGAAACCAAAAAAACTGAGGAGTTGAGGATATCCATCAGAAACCAAATAAACTGAGGAGGTGAGGATATCCATCAGAAACAAAATAAACTGAGGAGGTGAGGATATCCATCAGAAACCAAATAAACTGATGAGGTGAGGATATCCATCAGAAACCAAATAAACAAAAATTGATGAGAAGGGGAAAAAATGCTGATTTGGATTCCATCTATAATGTTGAAACAATTGCACAGGATGAAAATGAAATGTAGGATATACTCAAGACCTACATGATGTGTCCAAAATAAGATGATGATGATGATATTTGCATGTAAATTGGTCATGATTCAGCACAGTCAATACAGACTGCCTGCAATTAGGATTTGGTTAGTAATGTATCCTCCACAAGAGGTATTTCACTTTCAGCAGATTCCTACCCAGTGTGACGAGGGAACATATTTGCTATCTTCTTCTAAAATACTGAAGTCACAAATGAGGAACTGAGGCTTGCAAAAAAAAAAAAAAAAAACACTCATAGTTTTGTTCTTACAGTCTATGCCTTATGGTTTTGGTAGTCATGCAAGTTCACAACCTTCTATCTAGTGCACTTTCAATAAATTCTGACACAGATGATCTTCCATAGTCCATGCCGTGTGGCACTGGTAGTCATGTCTGCCTATAATCTTCTGTCTAGTATACTTTCACTAAATTCTGACACAGATGAGCTTCCATAGTTCTTGCAGTGTGGCACTGGTAGTCATGTCTGCCTATAACTATCTGTCTAGTGTACTTTCAATAAATTCTGACACAGATGATCTTCCATAGTCCATGCCATGGGGCACTGGTAGTCATATTTTTCCACAAACTTCTGTCTTGTGTGTCTATACCATGCTCTCAAACTGTCTAGCATCTTCTTCCTCAGTTTCCCTCTGCCTCAGTTCCCCAACAACTTTCCCACCCCCTATGATGAACTACATTTTCTCCTTCTCATGACATGACCAAAGAATGTAGATTGTGTCTTTTTGACGTTGGCGACAGTTCTCTTTGTGAGTCAGTTTCTTTCAAGATATATTCATTACTCTTTTTATCAGTAAAATGAATTCTCATCATTCGTCTATAAAAACTACATCTCTTACTGATTGGCCAACTGTCAATGATTCACTTCCCTATATCAGAAAATACTTGCTATTAAGAACCAAAATAGTAGCTGTTGTGATTTCCAGCAACAAAGATGTGGTAGTTTTTATAAGAGATATACTGTTTGAAACATACTCAACAGTAAATAATGCACATATAACAATGGAACAGCTAACTTCATCCTATTCTTCACTCACAATTAAAGATACAAATAGAACAATTCAATAAACTTACAGAGAATTTCCCATCAGAAACTGTTACATTCAAGATGTATTTATCCTTATCTTCATGGTCCAGATCTCGTAGAATTGTAATCATACCCGATGATCGATCAATGTAAAATACCCGTGGAGCTCCTGCTGCAAGCAAGAATGTTAAAATACTGAAGTCACATATAAGGAACTGAGGCTTGCAAAAAAAAAACACACTCATAGTTTTATGAAAGCTTGGGTCAATGTAACAATTAAATAATCATGTATTAGAAGGGGTGTAACAACAACAGCAGAATCAAAAACAGCAAAGAACAAAAAAAAGAGAAGATAAAGAAGAAAAAGAAGAAGCAGGGAGGAGGAGGAGAAGAAAAAGAACAAAAAGAAAGAAAGAAGAAAGGAGGAGGAGAAGAAGCAGAACAACAACAACAAGAACTAAAAGAAAGAAGGAAAAAAAAGAAAGAAAGAAAGAAAGAAAGATGCAGAAGGATGACCTTTTCTGGTTTTTGTTTTTTGCTGCTGTTTAAATTACAAACAGCTTACCTCTCTTTCTTGTTGTACCCCACCAGGACATCACATAAGCGATGAACACCCGGTGACACAAAGTGCCACCATGGAGATGAGGATCACCTGTGGAGAGGCCCCGGAAACCCTGTTCAGCCATATCCATAGCCCGGCTATACTTAGGGCCCCCGGGAAATGTCGAGGTGGGGCTTACCACAAAGAAAGATATCTGGTACTACAAAACTGATTTGCTAAATACCATGCACAAATCTGGCTGGCATAAAATTAAATACTACAAAAGCAAATCAGAAGACTTACCAGTGGGGTAGATGACATCAATAGAGTATACAAGTGTAGTGTGGGTATCAGGATCTGTGGCACTGACTTGTACAAGATCTTGACCTGAAGTCTGGCCCTGAAAAAAATCAACAAGTAAGTAGTGTGCCGAGTATAAGACCCCATGTTTCCCAACATTTTTAAAGTTTAAAATTGGGAGTCGTCATATATATATGCAATGTGTTTAAAAAAATATATTTATTAATTTTAGGTTAAAAAATAGGGATAATCTTATACACGTGGGTGTTTTATACAGAAAAATAACAGAATTCTTTTCTGACCCACCTCAACCAACTTGGCATACACCAGGGTAGTGTTTGGTGTTGCCATTCTGAATGTCCTATAGCCTACATGTGCGTATACTGAGAAATAACACAATTCTTTTCTGACCCACTTCACCCAACTTGGAGTACACCAGGGTAGGGTTTGGTGTTGCCATTCTGAATATCCTATAGCCTACATGTGGGTGTCTTATAGACAGAAAAAAAAACACACAATTCTTTTCTGACCCACCTCACCCAACTTGGCGTACACCAGGGTAGGGTTTGGTGTTGCCATTCTGAATATCCTATAGCCTACATGTGGGTGTCTTATAGACAGAAAAAAAAACACACAATTCTTTTCTGACCCACCTCACCCAACTTGGCGTACACCAGGGTAGTATTTGGTGCTGCCATTCTGAATGTCCTAAATAAAACATTTTACAAGATGAAATGGGATAGCTTAAAGTTGTCCTGCTGAGTTGACAGCTATGGTGACTGAGTGTGAGTTGCAGGGATCTCTAAACCTTCAGGTAGCACCTCCAGGAGGGTAGGCAGTGAGTCAATCTTATCTTCTATGCACATATTGTGTAAATCATACACCATGGGCTTAGTTTAATTGGTAAAGGATCTCTTTTAATGCAAACATATCTGCATAAATCAACTGCCTGATTGGTTTGACACCTTTGGGTTGTTACCTGAAGATTGATCACACTGAGAAAAAAAAATATATCAATCTGTCAGATCAGCAGGGCAGATTCCCAAGACCACTTTAACCTTTAAGGAAGTTTTAATCAGGGCATCCGAAATGGCTACATGAACGCTGTGTAACCTGCAGTCCTGCATACATGTTAGTTTCCTCCCAAAGATCACTGAAAGGGCAATCTCAACACTGCAAACAAACACCATAGCAGCATGGAAGATCCACATGTGTGTGTACACAAGAATCACTGATGCTACAAATGTTTTTATGAGGACAGCTTTTCAATTCGGAAATGTTGCAAGGAGAGAAACTGCTCAGTTTTCTCTTCTTGATTCCCAATTGTCTAGGTTAGGGGCTCTTGATTCTTTAAATTTTTAATCTTGTCTGTAAATCAAACCCTCCCTTCCCCCTTTCCAGGATTAAGGTCAAGTATAAAAAAAATATTATTCATTGTCGGAAAACCGTGAGGAGCGAACCACAGTACTCAAGGATCATGAAATTGTTAACCACATTGACCAACACCTGAGCCACGGAGCCGCACCGATGTCAAGTCCAACCTCCTCTATTTCCTAGTTTGTAAAATCCAAACAATCAACGCTATGGGCTCAAACCAAGTCTATTTGGGCTAGACGTAGATTCATCAAACTGTAAATCTACTTATTTCCTGCATAATCTAATTAAATTACCTCAATTTGAAAAAAAAAATGTTTGCCTCTCTTTTACAGAACTTCACAAACCACCCACATAATTTATTGGCTGTTATGTGGTTTTGTAAGCACATTTAGGAAGAAGATTATGTGGAAATTACATGAGAACAAATGGACTTGAGAATTTGACAATGACTGATGAGACTGATAGAAAAGGAATCAATGGGAAGGAAAAACAATAAATGTTCTGAATGGCTAGGTCAAGACAAGAGCATGATCTGATCAGTGGTTCTGGTGATTGTGTGAGGCTAAAACATGACCGTCTGCACTTACTGGCAGGGCAACATGATGATGATCTAATGTTGGACATTAGTACATCAATTCATTTAGAGAAAAAAAAAAGACTTTCTTTGAGTCCACATTCCAGTCTTACCTCTGTGATGTTTTGAACCAAGTCTGCTGGATCCACAAAGCGCGGACTTTTATCATTGACATCCTGAACATGAACTACAACCTTGGCTGTGCTTGAGGATATCCCATCTGTTGCTTTCACCTGGAATAATGTTTTCAAAATATAAAACATGGCTTAAAAAAAAGGACACAGCTGATACAAAAACATGACACAGTCGATACAAAAACATGACGCAGCTGATACAAAAACACGACACAGCTGATACAAAAACATGACACAGCTGACACACAAACACGACACAGCTGATACAAAAACATGACACTGCTGATACAAAAACATGACACAGTTGACACAGAAACGTGACACAGCTGATACAAAAACATGACACAGCTGACACAGAAACATGACACAGCTGACACAAAAACATGACACAGCTGACACAGAAACGTGACACAGCTGACACAGAAATGTGACACAACTGATACAAAAACATGACACAGCTGACACAGAAACGTAACACAGCTGACACAAAAAAATGACACAGCTGACACAGAAACATGAAACAGCTGATACAAAACCATGACACAGCTGACACAGAAACATGAAACAGCTGATACAAAACCATGACACAGCTGACACAGAAACGTGACACAGCTGACACAAAAACACGACACAGCTGATACAAAAACACGACACAGCTGATACGAAAACACCACACAGCTGATACAAAAACACGACACAGCTGATACAAAAACACGACACAGCTGATACAAAAACACAACACAGCTGATCCAAAAACACGACACAGCTGATACGAAAACACCACACAGCTGATACAAAAACACAACACAGTAGGTAAAATAAAGTAAAGGACCTTTTTCCTTGCCGCTAGGGGCGTTGGGCTTATAGGGCTAGATCTATATTCTATAGACCAATCAGCACTCGGTGGTCGACATCATGACCGCCGCCTTTACTTCCCACGACTATAGATGGGACCCATTCAAGGCTGGGTCGAGCTAGGAAAAACACATAGCTGATACAAAAACATGACACTTGACACTGCTGATACAAAAACATGACACTTGACACTGCTGATTCAAAAACGACACAGTTGATTCAAAAACATGACATAGCTGACACAAAAATGAGACAGTTGATTCGAAAATAT